TCCCCCTTTCTGGAACTTTGCCAATATCCTTTGGCCTAGCCTTCCTCAGAGACAAAGAACAGACCACGAACCAGGTCCGGCTCCACTATCTGTATTCCTAGCTAATCTCTCTAGCTCTTGAATACCACAAAAGATTAACCCAGCTCTCTTATCTAACACCAACCAACTGTTAACACCAACTGACAAAATCCCCCAACGGACAATTTCCAACTGCCAACTCAAGCCTCAGTTCAAAAGGTACATTTTTTTCTTTTTGAATGCTAGGCTCCGCCCCTATTTTCCAACCAAGACTGGCTGTCTAATCTCTGCTTCCTAGATTAGGACACGCCCGCTCTAAAAAACCCTTAACTAAGATGGCGTCTCCTTCTTTCCCTATGCTAAGATGGCCACCAGGGCTTCGCCAGGCCCACATTCTAGCTGCTTAAGGTAAGGAGTTCTTTACAGTCATCAGTTGGGGGCCCCTCCCCCAGCACAAGTCGCCGCTCTGGGCCAGAGTGAAAAGAGAGGGGGCCAAGGAGATGGTTCCATCTTGTCTCTTGCATATGTCACCAGTTGGGGACCCCTCCCCCCAGCACCACCTGCTGCTCTGGACCAGAGCGAAGGGGGGGGGCAGGGGACAGTTCCATCTTGTCTCCTGCATAAGTTATCAGTTGGTGGCCCCTCGCCCCAGCAACAATTGCCACTGGACCAGAGTGAAGAGAGGGGGGACCTGGGGACAGTTCATTCTTGTCTCCTGCATATGTTGGGGACTCCTCCCCTCAGCACCAACTGCCACTTTGGACAAGAGTGAAGGGGGGGCAGGGGACAGTTCCATCTTGTCTCCTGCGTAAGTCATCAGTTGGTGGCCCCTCGCCCCAGCAACAATTGCCACTGGACCAGAGTGAAGAGAGGAGGGACCTGGGGACAGTTCATTCTTGTCTCCTGCATATGTTGGGGACCCCTCCCCTCAGCACCAACTGCTGCTCTGGACAAGAGTGAAAGGGGGCAGGGGACAGTTCCATCTTGTCTCCTGCATAAGTCATCAGTTGGGGGCCCTTGCCCCAGCACCAACTGCCACTCTGGACCAGAGTGAAGGGGGGGGCAGGGGATGGTTCCATCTTGTCTCCCTCATGTCATCAGTTGGGGACCCCTCCRCCCAGAACCAACTGTGAAGAGAGAGTGGGGCAGAAGACAGTTCCACCTTGTCTCCTGTGCTATGTTAGCAATATAATGTAATATAATATATTGTATGTGTGTGTGTGTATATATATATATATATATATATATATATATATATATATATAATATTTATAGTATTATAATGTAATGAAATTTAATACTAATAATAATAGTATTATAATTATATATTTATATTACATGTAATATTACAAATAATAGTACAATATAATGGCATAATACAATATAGTAATATTCAATACTGATAATGTACTATGCTAATAATATAATATATTGTATGTATATATACTTTGTAAGGCGCTCTGAGTCCCCTTCAGGGTGAGAAGGGCGGCATATAAATGTCGTTAAAAAAATCCATAGATTGGTAATATATAAAAATAAGTGCAAGGTGAAGGAAGGGGAAGGGAGGAGGAGGAGGAAAGGAAGGGAATTAGTGGAAGAAAGGAAGGGTAGTGAGGGAAGGGGAAAGCAAAGAGGATCCAGGGAAGTCATTCTACCGCTCTATTCCGCCTTGGTTAGACCACATATTGTGTCCAATTCTGGGCACCACAATCGAAGAGAGATGTTGACAAGCTGGAATGTGTCCAGAAGAGGGCGACTAAAATGATCAAGGGTCTGGAGAACAAGCCCTATGAGGACATCATACAAGCCCCAACGTTGGCAGTCTTTAGGAAGAGCTTGAAGACGTGATTGTTCCAGTGTGCCTTCCCAGAATAGGAAACTCCAAGCATCTTGTCCCAAATGCACTTTACTAGAGAATTAAGATTGTTTGCATAGCGCACCTATCTCCCAAAACCTATCCATTTCACCTGGTCATGTCCAGCATTTTTAAAATTTTTAATCATTACATTTGGTTTTTAAATGCATCATGGTGTTATTGTCTAATGTTTATTGCTATTGTTTAATGTTTTTGCTTTGTTTGATGAGTTTATTTATTGTTGTATTTGTTCTGCTGTTGTTTTATTGTTGTATTGGGCCTCGGCCTCTTGTAAGCCGCACTGAGTCCTTCGGGAGATGTTAGCGGGGTATAAATAAAGGTATTATTATTATTATTATGTTTAGCCTGAAGAAGAGAAGGCTGAGAGGAGACATGATAGCCATGTATAAATATGTGAGAGGAAGCCAATTCAAGGTGCAGGTGCTTACCTACAAAGCCCTAAACGGTTTGGGACCTGCCTGCCTGCGTGACCGCATCTCCGTCTATGAACCCACGCACTCCCTTCATTCATCCGGAGAGGCCCTGCTCGCGATCCCACCTGCGTCGCAGGCGCGTTTGGTGGGGACCAGGAACAGGGCCTTCTTTGTGGTTGCCCCCCAACTTTGGAACACCCTCCCCAAAGACATTGGACTAGCACCCACGTTGGCAGTCTTTAGGAAGAACTTGAAGACCTGGCTATTCCGATGTGCCTTTCCAGAATAGGATAACCCCCAGCACTATGTCCCAGAAGCACTTTATTAGAGCTTAAGACTCCCTGCACATTGCACTTGCCCAGAATTCCAACATACCACCTCACACACCCAGCACTTTTTTAACCTGTACCCATCGTTGGCCCGGCCCTGGTTTTATTGCGTAATAGTGTAATGTTTTGTTATTGCTTATGTTTTTAATTTGCTTTGTATCGTATTGTTATTGTCTGTTGTTCTTGTGTTGAGGCCTTGGCCTTTGTAAGCTGCATCGAGTCCTTCGGGAGATTTTTTTTGTTGTTGTGTCAGGAGCAACTGCTCCTGTTGTGAGAGAATTGGCTATCTGCAAGGATGTTGCCCAGGGGACGCCTGGATGATTTTTGATGTTTTATCATCCTTGTGGGAGGCTTCTCTCATGTCCCCGCATGAGGAGTTGGAGCTAATAGAGGGAGCTCATCCGCCTCTCCCCGGATTCGAACCTGCGACCTGTCGGTCTTCAGTCCTGCAAGCACAGGGCTTTAACCCACTGCGCCACCGGGGGCTCAATATTACTAATTACTAATAATTACTATTACTACTTCGGGAGATGCTAGCGGGGTACAAATATTATTATTATTAAACTTTATTTGTATCCCGGTAGCATCTTCGGGAGATGCTAGCGGGGTACAAATAAAGTTTAATAATAATAATAATAATAATAATAATAAATAAATAACTTCCTGACTGTGAGAGCCGTTCAGCAGTGGAACTCTCTGCCTTGGAGTGTGGTGGAGGCTCCTTTGGAGGTTTTTAAACAGAGGCTAGATGGCCATCTGTCAGGGGTGCTTTGAATGCAATATTCCTGCTTCTTGGCAGGGGGTTGGACTGGATGGCCCATGAGGTCTCTTCCAGCTCTATGATTCTAGGGGAGGAAGGAGGGATTGTCTGACTCAAATTGGAAGGGGCGGCCAACAGCCTCGAAGGCAGGACCAGGGCCCCAAAGGACCTCCACAGGCCAGAGATCCCATTGCCCAGAATTAAGTCTAGAGTTCGACAAGAAGAAATGGATGTGTTGTTGTTCATTCATTCAGTTGTCTCCGACTCTTTGTGACCTCATGGACCAGTCCACGCCAGAGCTCCCTGTCGGCCGTCACCACCCCAGCTCCTTCAAGGTCAGTCCAGTCACTTCAAGGATGCCATCCATCCATCTTGCCCTTGGTCGGCCTCTCTTCCTTTTACCTTCCACTTTCCCCAGCATAATTGTCTTCTCTAGGCTTTGCTGTCTCCTCATGATGTGGCCAAAGTACATCTTTGTCTTTAGTATCCTTCCCTCCAGTGAGCAGTCGGGCTTTATTTCCTGGAGGATGGACTGGTTGGATCTTCTCGCAGTCCAAGGCACTCTCAGCACTTTCCTCCAACACCACAGCTCAAAAGCATCTCTCTTCCTTCGCTCAGCCTTCCCTACGGGTCCAGCTCTCACATCCGTAGGTTACTACAGGGAATACCATGGCTTTGACTAGGCGGATTTTTGTTGCCAGTGTGATATCTCTACTCTTTACGATTTTATCGAGACAGGACACTGCTCTCCTCCCAAGAAGTAAGCGTCTTCTGATTTCCTGGCCACAGTCTGCATCTGCAGTCATCTTTGCACCTAGAAATACAAAGTCTGTCACGGCCTCCACACTTTCTCCCTCTATTTTCCAGTTGTCAATCATTCTTGTTGCCATAATCTTGGTTTTTTTGATGTTTAGCTGCAACCTGGCTTTTGCGCTTTCTTCTTTCACCTTGATTAGAAGGCTCCTCAGTTCTTCCTCGCTTTCGGCCATCAGAGTGGTGTCATCTGCATATCTGAGGTTGTTTATGAAGAAATGGATGGCAGGTCAATATTAGCATCAGGGAGGGAGAAGGGGAGGAGCCCCCTTAAGCCCCGCCCCTACTCCTCAAAGGCCCCGAGAAACATAAAAGGGAGGAAGAGAAGGCCTCCCTGCAAAGTACAACACAAAGTGAGACAGGGAGAGAGGCTCAACAGGTCCGCATGAGAAAGAAAGGCAGGGAGAGCGAGGCGCGGGGCCTTGGCGGCCATTAAGGCCTTGCGTCTTCCTGAAGGAAGGCAGCAAGCCTCGCTCCAAAGGGAAGGAGGGAAACATATATACCTCTCTCTCTGCTCCATCCACCGCCTTCCCGCCTCAAAAAGAAATTGCTGAGGGAGAGCCAAGAAGCCCCTCCTTCTTCGCCCTCCCATTGGTCAAGTCCTGGAAACCCCGCCCACCCATGTTCCCCATTGGCTGCCTACCGCTCCGCATTTTTGACTGACGGGTTGCAAGGAAGGCGACCTCTGGTGGCAGAGAGAGAAAGAAGGAGGGAGAGGCTCTGCTAAAACCCACCCGAGAAGCCCCTCCTCCTTCGCCCTCCCATTGGCCGTGACGCCCCGCCCACCAGATGTCTCCCATTGGCTGCCTGCATTTTTGACTGACGGGTCACAACGAAGGCGGAAGGAGAGGCTCTACATTTTGCTTGGACGCCTTGAGGGCTGTGAGTCTGAAGGAGATGTAGTTTTATGAGATTTTAATTGCTGTATAGGACTGTACAGTTGCACTTATTTCTCATGCTAGTAAGGTAATGCTCAAGATCAGCGGTCCTCAAACTTTTTAAACAGAGGGCCAGGTCGCAGTCTCTTAAACTGTTGGAGGTCTGGATTATTAATTTGAAAAAACACACGCACACAAATGAATTCCTATACACACATAATTAAAACTTGTGCGCCAGCTGCGCCCGTACCTTGGGAAGTCGGATCTGGCCACGGTGGTCCACGCTCTTGTTACATCCTGTTTAGGTTACTGCAACGTGCTCTACGTGGGGTTGCCTTTGAAGGCTGTTCGGAAACTCCAACTAGTCCAGCGGGAGGCAGCCAGACTGCTCACCGGAGCGTCATACAGGGAGCATACCACCCCCCTGTTGTGTCAGCTCCACTGGCTGCTGATCCAATTCCGAGCACAATTCAAAGTGTTGGTTTTGACCTACAAAACCCTATACGGCTCCGGCCCAGTGTATCTGTCCAAACGGATCTTCCTCTACGTCCCACCCCGGAGTCTAAGATCTTCTGGGGAGGCCCTGCTCTCGACTCCGCCTCTATCACAAGTGAGGTTGGCGGGGACGAGGAGCAGGGCCTTCTTGGTGGTGGCCCCCCACCTGTGGAATTCGCTCCCCGGGGAAATTAGATCAGCGACATCACTCCTTTCCTTCAGGAAAAAACTGAAAACATGGATTTGGGACCAGGCATTCAGACAATCGGGCAGATAAAGAAAGGACTTTGACAATGGCCAGGAAATGACTAATGGAATGGAATTTGGAACTCTGAAAGACGAACGCTGAATAGTTTTTATATGATATGTTGTATATTGATTGTTTTGATTGTTTTAACTGTGATAATTGTTTTAACTATGGTTTTGTACATTAAGTGTAATTTGTATAGGCATTGAATTGTGCCTTTTTGTAAGCCGCCCTGAGTCCCCCCTCGGGGGTTGAGAAGGGCGGGGTAAAAGTACCCGAAATAAATAAATAAATATTATTTGTAGTGCAAAAACACTTAAAAACAATACAATAATTAAAATAAAGAACAATTTTAACCAATAGAAACTTATTAGTATTTCAATGGGAAGTGTGGGCCTTTGGCTGATGAGATAGGATTGTTGTTGTGTGCTTTCAAGTCATTTCAGACTTACCTTGACTCTGAGTGAGGGCCGGGTAAATGACCTTGGAGGGCCGTATCCGGCCCCCGGGCCTTAGTTTGAGGACCCCTGCTCAAGATCCTGCAAGGAAGACTCCAGCAATACATGGAGCAAGAGTTGCCAGATGTTCAAGCTGGGTTTAGAAAAGGCAGAGGAACGAGAGACCAGATTGCCAATATCAGCTGGATAATGGAGAAAGGCAGGGAGTTTCAGAAAAACATCTACTTCTGCTTCATTGACTATTCTAAAGCCTTTGACTGTGTGGATCATAATAAATTGTGGCACGTTCTTGGTGGTATAGGCATATCAAATCACCTTCTCTCTCTCCTAAGGAATCTGTAAAAGGACCAAGTAGCAACAGTCAGAACTGACCATGGAACAAAATGTATTGCAATCAATAGTTCAGATAAAATAAGGAGAACTGAAAAGATAATATTAATTAATAACAAGATTATATAAAAATAAAATTAAATAGAAGTAAAAATCCCCTTGCCAATATCTGGTGGATAATGGATAAAGGCAGGGAGTTTCAGAAAAATATCTATTTCTGTTTTATTGACTATTCTAAAGCCTTTGACTGTGTGGATCATAATAAATTGTGGCAAGGTCTTGGTGGTATAGGCATACCAAGCCACCTTGTCTCTCTCCTGAAGAATCTGTACAAGGACCAAGTAGCAACAGTCAGAACTGACCACGGATCAACAGACTGGTTCAAGATTGGGAGAGGCGTACGGCAGGGTCGTATACTCTCACCCAACCTATTCAACTTGTATGCAGAACACATCATGCAATATGCGGGGCTTGACGAATGCAAGGCTGGGGTGAAAATTGCTGGAAGAAACATTAACAACCATAGATATGCAGATGATACCGCTTTGATGGCCGAAAGCGAGGAGGAGCTGAGGAGCCTCCTAATCAAGGTGCAAAAAAAAAAAAAAAGCACAAAAGTTGGGTTGCAGTTAAACATTAAAAAAACAAGATTATGGCAACCAGATTGATTGATAACTGGCAAATAGAGGGAGAGAACGTGGAGGCAGTGACAGACTTTGTATTTCTAGGTGAAAAGATGACTGCAGACGCAGACTGCAGCCAGGAAATCAGGAGACGCTTACTTCTTGGGAGGAGAGCAATGACCAATCTCAATAAAATAGTGAAGAGTAGAGACATCAGACTGGCAACAAAGATCTTCCTAGTCAAAGCCATGGTATTCCCTGTAGTAACCTACGGATGTGAGAGCTGGACCTTAGGGAAGGCTGAGCGAAGGAAGATCGATGCTTTTGAGCTGTGGTGTTGGAGGAATGTTCTGAGAGTGCCTTGGACTGCGAGAAGATCCAACCAGTCCATCCTCCAGGAAATAAAGCCCGACTGCTCATTGGAGGGAAGGATACCAGAAACAAAGTTAAAGTACTTTGGCCACATCATGAGGAGACGGGAAAGCTTAGAGAAGAGAATGATGCTGGGGAAAATGGAAGGAAAAAGGACGAGGGGCCGACCAAGGGCAAGATGGATGGTATCCTTGAAGGGACTGGCTTGACCTTGAAGGAGCTGGGGTAGTGACAGCCGACAGGGAGCTCTGGCGTGGGCTGGTCCATGAGGTCACAAAGAGTCGGAAGTGACTGAATAAATGAACAACAACAAAATAGGACTATAACTCCCATCTGTAGAGGGTAAACAGACAAAAGTATAACTTGGAGAAAGAGCTGAGCTGCCACAGCAGTTTAAGGAGTAGCTTTCAGGCCTATCCCCCCTATTCTTTCACACAGCATGTAAATTGTAACTAGAGGGAAAAAAAAAACAGTGCCTGGTACCTACCAAAGTGGATCCCAGTGTGTCAGGGTTACTTACCAGTTAATTCTAGTTTCTGTTCTTTTCCACCTGTTTGCTTGCTTAGTAATAGAGAGCCCATCAGAAATGCATTTGGTAAGCATAGATCAATCAAATGGACAATGTATTAACACCAATCAAAATGCACCTTTTGGATTTCTATAAAACAATAGAAGATGGGGAGCCCTCTCAGCCCAGTTGTAGCAAATTTCTACATGGAACACTTTGAAAAACAAGCCCTGGAAACAGCAACAAAAAGCCCACTCTATGGTTCAGATATGTGGATGACACTTTCACCATTTGGAGCCGTGGAGAAGAACTAAACAGGTTCCTGGACCACCTCAACAGCATCCACCCAAACGTCCAATTCACCATGGGAAAAAAAATGAAGGAAAGCTGCCATTTCTAGATGTGCTAGGGCTCTTCCACACAGCCCTATATCCTAGGATATCAAGTCAGGAAATCCCACATTATCTGAGTGTGGACTCATAACCCAGTTCAAAGCAGATATTTTCTGCCTTGATATTCTGGGATCTAGGGCTGTGTGGAAGGGCCCCTAGTCATCCACAAACCTTGACAACAATTGGGCCACATACTTTACAGAAAACCTACACACACTGATAGATAGATACCTACATAAAAACTGCAAGTCAAAAAAGAAGCACAAAGGATCTGTGAACTCCACCTCCTCCACGGTGAATTGAACCCCCTAAACTGGGCTCTCCAGACTAATGAAGACTCCACCACAGACATCAAAAGAGCTGCATGGCCAAGAAGAAGCCATGAGAGGAAAGACAGAGATCCACCCAGAGAAAAAGGGTTCTTACCATACATCAAGGGAACTGACCGCATAGGGACTGGTGAAGAAACACACCTGCAAACTATCTATAGACCCACTAAGAAAATCCAACAAATTCTATGTTCAGCAAAGGACAAGAGGGATCCTCTCACTTCAGCAGGAGTCTACCGTATACCATGCAGCTGTGGATAAGTCTACAGGGACCATCAAATGCAGCAGCATTGCCCAAACACGAATCAAGGAACATGAAAGGCACTGCAGACTACTTCTACCAGAGAAGTCAGCACCTGATGAACCAACCTGGACACAGCATATTATTTGAGAACACAGAAATGCTGGACCACTCTCACAACCACCATGTCAAACTACACAGAGAAGCCATTGAAATCCACAAGCATGTGGACAATTTCAACAGAAAGGAGGAAACCATGGAAATGAACAAAATCTGGCTACCAGTATTAAAAAACTCTAAAATCAGGACAGTAAATAAAGAGCAACACTCAAAAAGCAGGGGAATTCCAGAAAGAATTAATCAGGGCCATCTAACACCTCCCAACAAAGGATTCCCCTTTGTTGGGAGGCTAGCTTTGAAGCTGCAAGACATTAAATGCTAATCAAGGTGACCAATGGCAACATCCACACTGGCTCAAGCAGACAAGAGGTTTTTTTTCTCCCACCCTGGACATTCCACAGATATGTAAGACTCACCTACCTAGTTTCCAACAGACCTCACAACCTTTGAGGATGCCTGCCATAAATTTAGGCAAAACATCAGGAAATAATGCATCTGGAACATGGCCATACAGCCTGGAAAACTCACAGCAACCCAGTGATTCCAGCCATGAAAGCCGTAGACAACACAATAGATAATACTCCATTAGTGGGACTTGGGTTACTTTTTTTTTTTTTTAATTCTGATTCCCCCTCCCCCTTTTTACAATTTTATCTTGCACCCTGATTTTTTTCTCCATTTTATTCTCATTCCTGACTTCCTCTCTCTTTATTCTCCCCCCCCCACTTTAGTCGATCAAAAATGAAGCCCCCCCCCCTCTCTCTATATATATCTATATATATGTATATCGTTAAACTGCTTCTTCCCTTTGTCTTCATTCCCCTGTGATTCCTGGCATCAAAACAAGAGGGAAACGTGCACCCAGCTTCCTGCTGAGACTCTGCAGCCATGAAGCCGGCTCTACTTCTCCTGCCTTTCCTCCTCCTCTCCTCTGCAGGTAAAATTCAAAAGCAATTATGCAAATGCTGGCAGAAATACTTTTTTAAACTCTAAAAAGCATTAAAATGTTCTTTTATTTTGTTCACAATGTGACAGAATATACCACAGAACAATACAGAGAAAGAAAGTAGACACACAGACTATAGTTACATTGGGTACACAAACAAGGGGAATTACATTTTACTCAGCATTCACACACACATATAGACATCCATCCATCATCATTCATACATTACCATCTCTTCTTCCTTCTCCTGGAAAAAACAGCTCAAATGAGGCCAGATTGTGTTCCTAGAAAATCTGCCATTCTACACATACACCACCTTTCTCCGTCCCTCAGAGAAAATGGGTGGGTGGACCAGCCTCCTCTGGTCTGCCACAATTTTTGGAATAATAAAGTGTCTTTTATCTACCATATTTCTGCTGATGATGTTCTGAAAGTTGTAAATACTGACAGGCAGCTAAAACATGTTGATTCTACTTGTTCCTGGACAGATGCTGACTTTCCTTGAATGATCATTGAATGATTGTTGGACTTTCTTCTTAAGGAGCCTTGTTTGACTTCCTTAAGCGATGGTTTTTATTCTTAAACACAGGGTTTTTATTCTTAAACACAGGGAGCACTGTGTTGACTTCTTTACTTAAAAGAGCCATTGTTTTTGGTAATGTAAACATGTTGTTTCCCACCAAGAGTTCAGCAGTTAATCATTGCCACAGTTCTCAACAGCTGATATAAATATCTGGAAATTCTAGGTCCTAATTAGTTACCAGAGATGGGAAATCTTTGTCACTGAGTTTATTCGATCATCACTGAGAACAATTGTAAAACGTGGCGCCACGCCTCAATCTAGCTTCTATTTGATCAACATTTTAACTTTCATAGAATCCTAGAGTTGGAAAAGACCTTGTGAGCCAGCCTAATCTTACCCATTCTGCCAAGAAGTAGGAAAATCGCATTCAAAGCCCCACTGACAGATGGCCATCCAGCCTCTGTTTGAAAGCCTCCAAAGAAGGAGCCTCCACCACACTCCAGGGCAGAGAGTTCCACAGCTCCCACAGTTAGGAAGTTCTTCCTAATGTTCAGGTGGAATCTCCTTTCCTGTCGTTTGAAGCCATTGTTCCACATCCTAGTCTCCATGGCAGCAGAAAACAAGCTTGCTCCCCTCTCGCTATGACTTTCCCTCACAGAATGGCCACTAGCTAGTGTTTACAAAATGGCTGCTTGGTCATGGAATTACCATTTCCTCTTGGTTACAGAATGGGGGTTTCTTATTGGTTACAGAATAGCCACTTCCTATTGGATTACAGAATACGTGCTTCCTATTGGTTATGTAATGACTGCTCCTAAGGTTGCCAAAATGGCCGCTTCCTATGGTTGACAAAAGGGTTTTTTCCCCTCAGGGAAGAAGGTCCGGTGGTGTACTTTGTCGGATGCAGAGCAGCGGAAGTGCTCAGAATTGTCCCGGGCACTGCTGTCTGCCTCGGCCCCATCCGCCCTCAGTGCCTTCACCCGAATGTCCTGCATTCGAGTTCACAACACCCGCGATTGTATTGACAAGATTAGGGTGAGTGTTCTTATTAGTTACAAAATTATTGGAAATTACAACCTTCTTGAAGACTCCTCTAGTAATTTGCTTGTTTATAATCCTGTTGCTTACTTATTGTGTGTATGTTCTTATATACAGCTTTCTTTCATTGCTCTATGTTTTTTTCCTGCGAAGTTGTGAAAGGGGCTACAGACCACATGATCCACTCTGAGACGTGCACAGAGCACAGACCTCTTTAGACTTTGGGACTGCTCAGAAACAGACCTGCAAACGCTTGCTGTTTATTATAAGAGATGGTTTGACTGCATGGCACTGAAAATATGTCAAACATATCTGTAACTGACTGATAAATTGTGTACCTGTGTATGCTGAACTCATGAAGTTTATGAGTAAACCAAATATGTTATTTTTTCTACCAAAGTCTACTTTATTTTATCTCGTGAGTGCATAATTTAAAAGAAGTTGTTTTATGGGAGAGTATATATATTTTCGGACACTGAAAAACACTTCTGAAGAACTGCTATTTTTGTGCACTGGCGTATTCTCTATTTCCTAACAGATCAGAGACAACAGGTTGTTCAGTCTAACAACTGAAGCCAATTGACTTGCACAATTACATTTGGTTATATACCACTTGAGAAGAGTCTATTGAAATGGGTTTTTGGCTCTTCTCTAAATGGTTATGATCTAAAAGGTCATGCTTTTCTTTTAAAAATGGCCGTCTCTTATTGTTTATGGCTTACTATCGTTTCCAACATGGTCCATTCTTGCTTATATCTCATTGTTTACAAAATGGCTATTTCCATTTCTTTACAAAATGGCCACCTCCAATTGGTTACCCAGTGACTGCTTCTTATTGTTTGCAAAATGGCCGCCTCTTATAGGTTATGAAGCTGCTGCTTATTGTTTACAAAATGACCACTCTCTATTTTTGTATATTATCCGATCCCTATTGGTTACCAAATGGCTGCCTCTTATTGCAAAATGTCCACCCTCTATAGGTTACGAAGCTGCTGCTTACTGTTTCCAAAATTGCCGCTTCCCATTCTTTTCAAAATGGCCACCTCCTACTGGTTTCTCAGTCACTGTTTCCTATTGTTCACACAATGGTCACCTCCTATAGGTTATGAAACTACTGCTTATTTTTTACAAAATGACCCAATTTTTGCAAACCATCCAATCCCTATTGGTTACAAAATGGCTGCCTCCTAGAGGTTAGAAAAAGGGCTACTTCTTGTTGTTCACAAAATGGCGGCTTCTATTGTTTGCAAGGGTTTGGCTGCCGTCATTTGGGCAAGTCACAGATCTAATAAATTGGAATAAATCAGCCTCAGATCTAATAAATTGGAATAAATCTTGCCAACAATTCAACTTTCTCGGACTTTTAAGAAGCAAATCGTATAAGTAAATTATGTCAATGTATAGATTTTACATTATATTATATTATAATGTTATGTTATATTGTAATAACATATTTCCTCACCTTAGACAATATTTTTTGGGTGGAAGCCATGTTGTTATATATGAATTATTCTAACAATCAATAATTCGTGTTTATCCACTCGTTATCCCTGGGATTTCAGCCATTAGATAATATGTTCTAATTAAGAGCTACTTGCGAAACTTGCTCAACTTCAGTGAAGAAAATCCAGAAATAATTCCTTCTTTTTCATTCTTACTGTTATTTCTTTGTTAGGCAAATAAGGCAGATGTGGTCTCGTTGGATGCTGGAGATGTTTATTCCGCCGTCAAAGTTTATGGACTGACCATTGCGGCAAAGGAAAGTTTCAATCCAGAAAGCGTAGTTCATAAGGCGCCTCATACTTCGTAAACAATAAGACACGCAGTGACTTAAGTATCACATACTATGATCTCCTCAGCCCCTTCTCTGCCAAAGAAGCGTTCCTAAGACCAATCAGGTAAATGATACCCTGTATTCGTATATTCCTAATCTGATGCTGTTCTGTTGTTGTTCATCCTCCCTCTCTCTGTTCAGTGTCGCACGATTCTCTTCGTGACCTCATAAGACCAGAACTCCACGCCCCAGAGCCTCTCTGGGCTGCCCACCACCTCCTTCTAGGCCTCTCCCTATTGCAAGGTCATGGCCAGCACGACAAGGATGTCCACTCCATACCATCTTGCCCTGGTTCGGCCCCTACAACTAGCTTTATTGCACTTTCCCCATCTAGTGGCAGCAGATGCTTGAATGGTCCTGAAGACCTATGCTTAGTGTCATGCTCAAATGTGAGCTTGCTTTAGCTATATTGACTTAGCTATCTTCTCCACCATCTCTTCTTAATATCAAGCCATGGCTTAGTGTGATCCTTGAATGTGGGTTGGCTTTAGCTAGCTTCTCAGCACTTCTCAGTGTACCTAATTTGCTCACCTTCACACAGAAACTTCTGAATGGCCTCCGTGCCAATGCTGCAGATCTCACAAGGTGGGTAGGCTCTCACATCCGGCGAGGTGGATGGTTTACTACAGACGGATGACTTCGACCATGTGTTCTTTCGACCTTAAGCGCGCGATCTTCGTCTAAGCTCCAGATTTCTGTATGTACTCTACTCTATTACCTATTCTTAATCCGACCTGAACTTAGCGACATTGCCCCCTTCCCTCCTCAACAAGACACCCGTAAGCGTCTTCTGATTTCCTGGCCACAGTCTGCATCTGCAGTAATCTTTGCGCCTAGAAATACAAAGTCTGTCACGGCCTCCACATTTTCTCCCTCTATTTTCCAGTTGTCAATCATTCTTGTTGCCATAATCTTGGTTTTTTTGATGTTTAGCTGCAACCCGGCTTTTGCGCTTTCTTCTTTCACCTTGATTAGAAGGCTCCTTCAGCTCCTCCTCGCTTTCGGCCATCAGAGTGGTGTCATCTGCATATCTGAGGTTGTTAATGTTTCTTCCAGCAATTTTTACCCCAGCTTTGCATTCATCAAGCCCCGCACATCGCATGATGTGTTCTGCATACAAGTTAAAAAGGTTGGGTGAGAGTATGCAGCCTTGCCGTACGCCTTTCCCAATCTTGAACCTGTCTGTTGTTCCGTGGTCAGTTCTGACTGTTGCTACTTGGTCCTTGTACAGATTCCTCAGGAGAGAGACAAGGTGGCTTGGGATGCCCATCCCACCAAGAACTTGCCACAATTTATTATGATCCACACAGTCAAAGGCTTTAGAATAGTCAATGAAGCAGAAGTAGATGTTTTTCCCATCACTCGGACCACTACCCCCACCCATGCACCATTCTCCGATTAATCCAGCGGATATTTGGCCGAATACTGGTCTCCTCGCTTTATCCTCCCAATGATCCTTTTATAAACCCAGCTTGAACATACTGGCCATACTAACCTGCTCGCTCATGCTATTGCTAGGAGCTCTTTCCCTAAATGCAGTAGACTCCTTGATGTCATTACCCCCCCCTAACTGGCACATGAAGAATAAGCACAGCGCTCTTCGACCTAACAGCCCTCTGAAACCCCCTAGTGACACACCACAAGCCCCATGGCCCGCGCTACCCACATCCTACAAGTATGCTGTAGCAAAGACTGCTAGATGGATATTAGAAACACAGCAGCTATTTTGTAAACAATAAGACAACAGGAAGTGGCCATTTCAGTTTACTTCCGCTCACTTATTTTTATGGTTCCGGCCTGTAGGGAGCTGCGTCTTCTCAGTGGCGGTCACCCGCAAAGGAACCCTCGACATCAAGGGCCTGAAAGGGTCACGAAGTTGCCATAGTGGGGCAAGATGGACATCTGGCTGGAACCTCCCTTTGGGCTTTCTGTTAGCCCAGAACGACCTCCTGTGGGACAGAGGTCAACCCCTGAGTCGCGGTGAGCAGTCAGATGGGCATCCTGTACAGTAAACCACAGCAATTGATTAAATTAGATTAACTTACTTTCCTTGTTTTCTTCCAGCCGTTTCTGAATACTTCAACGCCAGTTGCGTCCCTGGTGTCGGCCTTTCTTCCCCTGAGCTTTGCGCCCTTTGCCAAGGTCAGAGGTCATACCTTCGGGACAGGAACTACTTCTGCGAAACCAACGGTGGCGAACCGTTTTTCGACTCTGAGGGTGCCTTCAGGTGACATTTTCTAGGTCCTCTGTGGTGTTCCTTCGTTTCAGTAGGGTTCGCTATGAGCCATGGTTCATTTAGATAAAAAGGTCATCTCTAGGAATTTTTTAGGTCCTCCAGTGTGGCTCTATGGTATCCTTGTCCCAGGAAGTCCTTCGTTTCAATAGCGTTCATGATCATATCAAATAATAATAATATAATAAACCTTTATTTATACCCCGCTAACATCTCCCGAAGGACTCGGTGCGGCTTACAAGAGGCCGAGGCCCAACACATCAATAAAACAACAGCATAACAAGTACAACAATAAACTCATAAAACAAGCAATAAACATTAAAACAATAGCAATAAACATTAGACAATAACACCGTGACACATTTAAAACTAAGGCCGGGACAAATGTAATGATTAAAATTTTAAAATGCTGAACATGACAGGTGAGATGGATAGGTTTTTGGAGATAGGTGCGGTGTGCAGACAATCTTAAATCTCTAGTAAAGTGCAATTGGGACATGATGCTAGGAGTTTCCTATTCTGGGAAGGCACACTGGAACAGCCACGTCTTCAAGCTCTTCCTAAAGACTGCCAATATTGGGGCTTGTCTGATGTCCTTGGGGTGAGAGTTCCAGACTCGGGGGCCATCACGGAGAAGACCCTGTCCCTCGCCCCCACCAATCGCGCTTGCAGCGCAGGTGGGATTGTGAGCAGGGCCTCTCCAGATGATCGAAGAGATCATGTGGGTTCATATACAGAGATGCGGTCACGCAGGTAGGCGGGTCCCAAACTGTTTAGGGCTTTGTAGGTAAGCACCTGCACCTTGAATTGGGACCGGAAAATGAACGGCAGCCAATGGAGCTCCTTAAACAGGAGGGCTGACCTCTCCCTGTAAGGAGCACCTGTTAACATCCTGGCTGCCGCCCGTTGGATCAGTTGGAATTTCCGGGCCGTTTTCAAGGGCAGCCCCACGTAGAGCGCATTACAGTAGTCTAATCAAACATGTCCTCTCTAGGAATCCCCTAGGTCCAACAGTACAACTCTATGGTATTCCTGTGCAGTAAGTCCATCTTTTCAATACACCTTGATCTTTATACTTTCGTTTGAATGAAATATGTCCCCCCTAGGCTTTTTCAAGGTTCTTTCAAGGTAAACATATCATTGAATCACCAGGAAGCCCAAACAAATGCCTAGAGTGGCCACTTATTTCTCAAAAGAAAGCCAAAAATATGGGTTCAATGCTTACGGGATGCAAAGTTCATATTAATATTTAAATTTATGCTAATGATGACAACACAGGTGCTTGAGGAGCGGAATCGGAGAGGTGGCTTTTCTGGATCACCTGGCGGTCCTGAATGCCACAGGTAAGCCCTTATTTATAAGCTCTGCCCCCTCGATGCCAGCCTTGACCTCTTGACCCCTGACCCAACATCTCAGCCCCCAGGTCCCTCCATGAATAACCATATAAAAACCCTTTCCTCATTAAGAATCGGACCTAGACGAATATGAGCTCCTGTGCCCCGACGGGTCCACTGCCCCCTTAACAGCCTCTGCGACCTGTCACCTCGGTCGCGGTCCTGGATGGGCCCTCCTGACCCGGAAGGACTTCCGGAAGGTAGCCGGGAGGTTCATCACTCTGGCCCAGGTAATTAGATAGATAGATATACTCTAGCCAACCTTTGGCTTCTCACTTGTTCTAACAGATAAGCAACTTTTGTTTTGCTAACAGGTAAGCACCATAGATGGGTAGATATTCAGTCTGGGCTACCTCTTCCTTCTCACCTGTCTTTACAGGTAAGAGTCATGTATACATAGATAGATATTCAGGGTTACATTTAGCTTCTTATTTATCCTTACAGGTGAGAAGCTTAAACATAAAGTAGATATAGAGATATTTGGGGCTACTTTTGGCTTCCCTCCTGTCCATACAGGTAAAAGAGCATAGACAGACAGAAATTCTGAACCTGGTCACAGTTCCTCAAACTGTTGGAGGGCCGGGTTATAATTTGGAAAAAAAAAACATGAATTCCTATGCACATATCTTATTTGTAGTGCAAAAATCATTTAAAAACAATACAATAGTTAAAATGAAGAACGATTTTAACAAATATAAACTTATTGGTATTTCAATGGGAAGTGTGGCCCTGCTTTTGGCTGATGAGGTAGGATTGTTATTGTTGTGTGCTTTCAAGTTTTTTCAGACTTAGGTTGACCCTGAGCGAGGGCCAGGTAAATCACCTTGGAGGGCCATATCCGGCCCCTGGGCCTTAGTTTGAGGACCCCTGGTGTAGATAGATAGATTACATTTATGTAGCTAGATAGATTGAGGGTTACATTTGGCTTCTTATCTGTCTTTACCTGCTTACTCCTCACCTGTCCTTACAGGTAATAAAGCATAGATAGACAGACATTCTGGGCTACCTATTACTATTACCTGACAGGTAAGAGGGACAGAGAGAGAGAGAGAGAGAGAGAGAGATTCTGGGTGACCTGTTTGCCTGCCACCTGTCCTTACAGGTAAGACCTACCTACCTCTCTAGATCTATCTATCCTGAGCTACCTATCCCTTCCAGCAACTCTTTGGAGCAGAAGGGAAGGAGAAGGCCAGGTTCGAACTCTTCTCCTCGGCCCCCTTCAGAGGGAAGGACCTGCTTTTCCGGGACGCCACTCGACGCTTGCGATTGGTCAGAGATGAGGAGGAGGACATCACCCAAGTCCTGGGCCTGGACTACATCTCCCTTTTGCAAGGCTTGGGCCATGAAGGTGAGCTTCCTATATATTCCTATTGATCGGAGAGCATCATGGGTTTTTTTTGATGCAGCATCACACATATCTTTACCTTGGAGGTCAATTGAGGCCTGCCTAAAGTCCCAGAACTGGACACAGGGTTATTCCAAGTAACCCACAGTCTCCTATATACTTCTGTTGATGCAGTCTGGAATCATCTGGGCCGTTCTTGCAGCAGATCATGCTCAGGTTTACCTTGATACCCCTATATCTTTGGTTTGGATCATTCCCAGACAAGTGGTCACTCTTCTCTGGACAGTAAACTGGTCAATTCCTTGTTTGCAGGGCCTTCTCTGGCCGAAAGCCTGGTCCGTTGGTGCTGCATCAGTGACGCTGAACTCCATAAATGCGAAGAATGGGCACTGAATGTTCAGTCCGACCCTTTGGTGTGCATCCAGGCCGACTCCATGTCTGGCTGCATCGAGAAGATCAAGGTGCGTCATCCTTGACATTAACGAAGCAGTAGGCTTGTTTGCATAATTAAATGCTTCCTTTTATGCGGCAGAGAAACGAAGCAGACGCTGTTAGGCTGGATGCAACACATTCATACTTTGCTGATATCTGCAGATTGGTTCCAGTTGCGGTTGAAGATTATGGTCAGTATTTTAACCATCTAAACAAATAAAAATGTAAATGTCCATTTGTGACAGACATCATATCTCCGATTGATTAACAATAGTATATTAGAACTAATAATATTTAATATAATATAACAAAAGTATATTAGAACTAATAATATTTAATATAATATAACAATATACTGATATAATAATATAAAATTCCTCTCTCTGTTGTCTAAGCCCTGTTGCTTTTAGGAGTCATTTGTGACTTGAATGTTTGTAACTCGGGGATGGCCAGTAAATATATATATGTGTGTGTGTGTGTGTCTATATATATATATGTGTGTGTGTGTGTGTGTGTGTGTATATGTATGTGTGTGTGTGTGTATATATATATATATATATATATATATATATACACTAGCTGTACCCGCCACGCGTTGCTGTGGCCAACCTTCCTTCCCTCTTTCTCTCCTCCCTTCCCTCTTTCCTTCCTTTCCTCTTTTTCTTTCCCTATCATCTTTCTTTGCTCTTTGGTTACATCCTTCCTTCCTTCCTTCCCTATCTTTTGTTCCTTCTCTCCTTCCCTCCCTCTCTTTTTCCTTTCACTTTTTTATTTCCTTCTCTCCTTCCTTGCTTCTCTTTTTTCTTTCTTTCCTTCCCTGCTTCTCTCCTTCCTTCCCTTTTTCCCTCCTTCTCTCGTTACTTCTTGACTGTCCCTTCTATTTAATATTGTATTTATATCTTAGAAAGAAGGAAAGGAAGAAGGAAGGAGGGACAGGAAGGAAGGAAAAGAAAGAAGGAGGGACAGGAAGAAGGAAGGAAGGAAGGAGGGACAGGAAGGGAGGGAGGAAGGAGAAGGAAGGAAGGAGGAAGGAAGGAGGGAAAGAAAGGAGGGGGATGAAGAAAGGAGGGAGGGAAGGAAATGAAGGGGAAGGAAATGAAGAAAGGGAAAGAAGGAGGAAAGGGAGGGAGGAAGGAAAAGAAGGAAAGGAAAAAGGAAGGAGGGACAGGAAGGAAGGGAAGGAGGGAAAGAAGGAAAGGAAGGAAGAAAAGGAAGGAAAGGAAGGAAGGAAAGGGAGGAAAGAAGGGAAGGGAGGGAGAGAAGGAAGGTCCTTCATTCAAGCACCGTGGACCTTCCTCGCCTCCCCCTCCTCCTCCTCCTCCCCTCCTCCTCCCCTTCTTCCTTGCGTGGATGCTCCGTTGCTGCTGCCATTGCTGCTGCTTTCCCAACAGGGAAAGGAGGAGGCTGATCTCCTGACATAGGAGGGAAAGAGAAGGGGCTGCATGTGGCGCGCCTCCACCTCCATTCCACTCGCTTGTGTGTGTGTGTGCGTGGCCGTGCACATGCGCCTGGCTTTAATGGCCAGCTGTTTCCCCCCGAGGAGGTGGGAGGCGTGACCATGGATCTCTGTAGACGTGCAGTTTCCTCTTTGTGGACATGCAGTTTAGAAGTCCTTTCTGCTTTTTGTTTTCATTGTTTTTTTGAGTGGAGAACATACATTGGGTTGTTAGGGACATAGTTTCCAAATTTGGTGTCAATTGCCCCAGTGGTTTCTGAGTTCTGTGAATAGCACAAGCGAACATTACATTTTTATTTATATAGATATATATATGCTGCCTGCTCTCTTGTATCCATGCCAGGTCCAACCTTCGCGGTGGTGCTGGCCAGAAAGAAGGGCTTTGGGGCCCTGGGCCTACAGGGCCTGCGGGGGCGGCGCTCCTGCCACGGGTACAAGTTCAGCCCTGCTGGGTGGGCACTCCCCTCCCGCCACATCTTTCTAGATGCTTCCGAAAACGGGACCAGCACCCCTTGCAACCTCAGCACTGGTAAGGCAACACACACACGGCCCTGAGCGGCATCACTATGCTGCAGCCGCAAGGGCCAATATGATTCTGGGGCTGAATGCATAGTTTCCAAGGTTGAGGATGTCCAGCAAAGGGTGTCATGAATACTTTTTAAACAAAGGTTCTTTTCATTGCCTTTTCAGCGTGAGAGTATATCAGAGCAACTTTTACGCAGAGAAAGAAGGCAGACATACAGATTATCTAAGCAACGTTGGTTAACAAACGAAGGGGATTCCACATCTACTCAGCATTCATGCTACATATATGTTGAAGTTTTAAACTATTCTTACCTATTTTGAAGATAAAATGTTGGGTTACTGTTGTGCCCCCACAAATAGTAAAGGTAAAGGTTTCCCCTGGCATTAAGTCTAGTCATGTCCAACTCAGAAGGTTGGTGCTCATCTCCACTTCTAAGCTGAAGAGCCGGCGTTGTCCATAGACACCTCCTAGGTCATGTGGCTGGCATGACTGCATGGATCGCCATTACCTTCCCACAGAAGCACTACCTATTGATCTACTCACATTTGCATGTTTTCAAACAGCTAGGTTGACAGAAGCTGGGCCTAACAGTGGGAGCTCACCCTGCTCCCCGGATTCAAACCGCCAACCTTTTGGTCAGCAAGTTCAGCAGCTCAGCAGTTTAACCCACTGCGCCACCATGGGTCCCACCCCCACAGAAACCTCCTCTGTTTTCCTCTTTAGTTAAGAGAGGTTATATTGTAAATAGCCATTATGGGAGGGATCCCCACAGGTCGAAAAGGGTATAGGGTTACAGCCAGTGTTAGACAGGGTTACACTCCCCCTGAAGACACAGGTTTGCAACTTGGGAGTTCTGCTGGATTCATCACTGAGCCTGGAACCACAGGCAGTAAATTTTTGTCAGGCATTAATTTTTTTGCCATGAATATATTGGAAACCGCTTTGAGTCCCCCTTGGGGAGAAAAGCATATATAATTGAAGTAAATAAATAAATCCAGAGTTAGCCTCTTCCCTTTAAGGCAGTGTTTCTCAACCTGGGGGTCGGGGCCCCTGGGGGGCAGGGGCAGAAAACATATTTCTGATGGTCTTAGGAACCCCTTTGGCAGAGAAGGCTGAAGATCCCGGTCTGTTTGTGGGAACATTTCCTTTTAGACATAACAAGGGTTATGGGCCCAGCATGCCTGGCAAATTAAGAGACTGCAGAAAACAACAGTAAATGACTGTTGTGGCTACTACCAACTGTAGAGAGAGAGAGAAACAGTGATTAACAGGGCACGGAAAAACAGAAAAACCTTTTTCCAGACTTAACTGGCTCTCTGTTTGTATTTCCTCTCTGCCTCCCTCTTGACCAAGTCAGCCTTTCTTAAGTTGCAATTTGTTTGTTTAGGTTGCATATGGACATTTTTGCTACCTTTTCTGTGGGTCTTTTGTTCTCTACAGGTCGGGGCTATCCGATTCAATTTGATCTTTATTTGTTCAAGTTTATTGTCAGCAGTGCATTCATAATTTCACTGAGGTATAATATTTGAACAAATATATTTTTGCAGTGGCTCCGATCCTTCCTAGAGGGCCGCTCTCAGAAGGTGTTATTGGGAGACACCTGTTCTACCCCACAACCATTGTCTTGTGGGGTTCCTCAGGGTTCAATACTGTCTCCCATGTTGTTCAACATCTACATGAAGCTGCTGGGAGAGATCATCCGGAGTTTCAGGGTATGATGTCATTTGTACGCGGATGATGTCCAACTCTGTCACTCCTTCCCACCTTCTTCTAAGGAGGCTGTTCAGGTCCTGAACCGGTGCTTGGCCACTGTAACGGTCTGGATGAGGGTGAACGAATTGAAATTGAATCCAGACAAGACAGAGGTACTCCTGGTCAGTCGTAAGGCCGAACAGGGCATAGGGTTACAGCCTGTGTTGGACGGGGTTACACTCCCCCTGAAGACGCAGGTTCGCAGCTTGGGTGTGATCCTGGACTCATCGCTGAGCCTGGAACCCCAGGTTTCAGCGGTGACCAGGGGAGCATTCGCACAATTAAAACTTGTGCGCCAGCTGCGCCCGTACCTTGGGAAGTCTGACTTGGCCACGGTAGTCCACGCTCTGGTTACATCCCGTATAGACTACTGCAACGCTCTCTACGTGGGGTTGCCTCTGAAGACTGCTCGGAAGCTTCAAATGGTCCAACGATCGGCAGCCAGGATGCTAACAGGAGCGGCACTCAGGGAGCATACAACTCCTCTGTTGCGCCAGCTCCACTGGCTGCCAATTTGCTACCGGGCACAATTCAAAGTGCTGGCTTTAGCCTTTAAAGCCCTAAACGGTTCTGGCCCGACCTATCTGTCTGAACGCATCTCCTCCTATGAACCAGTTAGGACGTTAAGATCGTCTGGGGAGGCCCTGCTCTCGGTCCCACCGGCTTCACAAGCACACCTGGCGGGGACGAGAGACAGGGCCTTCTCAGTAGTGGCCCCCCGGCTGTGGAACGCCTTCCTACAGACATTAGATCGGCCCCCTCCTTATTGGCATTCAGGAAGAGAGTGAAGACCTGGCTCTTCGAACAGGCTTTCAACTAAGCAGTGCAATTGATTGATTACTGGAATATGGATTAATGGACAACGAGATCGGATGCTGATTCTATTGATGAGACGTGATGGATTGTTGTTTTCCTGCATTGTTGTATTGATGTCCTGATGTTAACTAATTGATATTACTGTTTTAAATGACTAATGATTTTGTACTGTATTGTTGATACTGGTTGTTAACCGCTCTGAGTTGCCGTTGGCTGAGAAGAGTGGTATACAAGTGAAGCAAATAAATAAATAAATAAATAAATAATAGGTTGAAAACAGCCCATGTAAAACTGGATTAAAGTTTCTCTCTTTCTCTAGCATACCAAGCCTTCTTCTGGAAGGGCTGCATGCCAGGACAAGATGGCGGCCCCCTTTGCAGAGTCTGCCTTGGGGCAGAGGCAGAAGGGGCAGGGAAAGGCCCCTCCCACTGTGCCGCCAATCATGGGGAGCGTTACTACGGCAACCGGGGAGCCCTCAGGCAAGCAAGGTCCTCAGCCACCAAATGGCTTCCTCAATCCCAGCTTGGAAGTCACAATAATGCAATATGACATTTCATTTTTTCCCATGTTTTAGGTGTCTTTTGGGGGATTCCAATGGGAGGCATTATGGAGACGTGGCCTTTGTAGAGAATCATGACCTGCTCCAAAACATCGAATGTAAGGTGTTTTCCTCTGTATTTAATATTATAGTATGTTCGATAATATTTATGATATTATATTTTATATCATAAAGTGCTATGGAACATTTATATATTCTATTTGTGGTATATGTATATATTACAGTTTATCATATAATTGTTATAATATTTATTTATTTAAAGCATTTATATTCCACCCTTCTCACCCGAAAGGGGACTCGGAGTGGAGCACAACATAAATACGGCAAACATTCAATGCCGGAATAAAAACAAACTATAGGTTGTTGTAGGTTTTTCTGGGCTATATGGCCATGTTCTAGAGGCATTTTCTCCTGACGTTTCATCTGCATCTATGGCAAGCATCCTCAGAGGTAGTGAGGTACCTCTGAGGATGCTTGCCATAGATGCAGGCGAAACGTCAGGAGAGAATGCCTCTAGACCAGGGGTCCTCAAACTAAGGCCCGGGGGCCGGATGCGGCCCTCCAAGGTCATTTACCTGGCCCTCGCTCAGGGTCAACCTAAGTCTGAAATTACTTGAAAGCACACAACAACAACAACAACAACAACAATCCTATCTCATCAGCCAAAGCAGGCCCACACTTCCCATTGAAATACTAATAAGTTTATATTTGTTAAAATTGTTCTTCATTTTAATTATTGTATTGTTTTTAAGTGTTTTTTTTTTGCACTACAATAAGATATGTACAATGTGCAAAGGAATTCGTTCATTTTTTTTTCAAATTATAATCCGGCCCTCCAACAGTTTGAGGGACTGTGACCTGGCCCTCTGTTTAAAAAGTCTGAGGACCCCTGCTCTAGACCATGGCCATATAGCCTGGAAAAACCTACAACAACCCAGTGATTCCGGCCATGAAAGCCTTTGACAATACATGAAACAAACTATAAATATACACAAAAATTAAAATCAGTTGTTCCAATTTAAAATCAAATTGTTAAAAACCATCTCAAACCAGCCATACTGGATTATTAACCTTATTGCGGGGGACATGAGAGAAGCATTCCCCACAGGATTACAACACATCTGGGCATCCCCTGGGCAATGTCTTTGTAGATGGCTGATTCTCTCACCCAGAAGTGACCAGATGCGACTTGCAGTATGCAACCAACCAACAGACGTTTTCAGGACCAACTATGACAATTATCTCAATCAACATCAAAGGCATGTCAGTGGCCAAAGAACAGCTGCTTTATGAACTGTGCCGAGATAAGGAATGTGACATGCTGTGTGTCCAAGAAACAGAGATAAACAACAGAAATGACCAAAAGTTCCAGGAATGATCTTAGTAGCAGAAAGACTACATGCGCAGTATGGAAGTGCTCTCTTTGTAAAATCAGGCCTCCAAGTCAGCACTGAAGAAAACAATATAGAGGTTATAACAGTAGAGCTTAGTAACACCACAATTACCTTAAATGAAGAGTTTTACCTCTTCTCTCTTGAGAAGTTTGTTAGGCACCAAAGGGTGACTTCAACAGCCATAGCCATGTATGGGGCTATGCTCAGGAGGATAAAAATGGGCACAAACTATCACTTATTAATGATAGTAAGCTCCCACCATTCTACAACAGTGGGAGATGGCACCGATGATACAACCCAGACCACCTATTGGTGAGTGACAGCATTATGCAGCAATGCACTAAATCAGTGGGACCACCAATAATACCAATAGTTGTGTGTTAGTTGATGTGCGTCATGATCTTAATTCACTGTAACTGTTGTCTTTATGTTCTATGTTCTGTACACCGCCACGAGTCGCCTTCGGGCTGAGAGTGGCGGTTAACAAATGCAAATAATAAAATAAATAATAATAAATTGTTCCCAATTATAAGGACATCCGATTTAAAGGAAGATTCAACTTCAGAAAGGCAGATTGGACTAAATTCTCAGACATGTTAGATGACAAGATCATATCAGTTGCCCCAATCCCTGAGGAATACAAACACTTTACTGAAATAGTAAAAACCTGCTCATAGGCTTCTATATCAAGAGGCTCCAGAACACACTACCTTCAGGGCATTACTCCTGAAACAGCTGCCTTGCTAGAAGACTATTACAGGTGCTACAACGGAAACCCATTTATTGAGCAAACTCTTCAGGCAGCCCAGAGCATTTTGTCCTCCATCTCTGAAGCCAAGAAAGAACAGTGGATAAAGATGATAAGAGAAGTCGACATGGGCAGGAGGAGTGTGAAGGCGTGGAGGCTGCTAAGACAGTTGAGCAACGATCCCTCACAAACTAATACCCATGCCAACATAAAGGCAGATCAGATAGCGCATCAACTTCTGAAGAATGGGAAACCCAACCTTGCCACCAAAGTAGGAAGGAAACCAATAGTCAGAGAACCAGAAAATGAAAACAACTTTCATGAACTTTTTACATCAACTGACTTGGATATGGCCTTCAATAAATGGCAAAGCAGCTGGCCTGGATGATCTACGAACAGAACAAATTAAGAACTTTGGCCCAAAAGCAAGGTGCTGGCTACTGAAGTGAGGAACAACTGCATTGCATCCTGTCAGATCCCCAAAACCTGGAGGAAAGCAAGAGTCATAGCCATCTTGAAACCAGGCAAAGACCGCAATGATCCAAAAAGCTATAGACTAATTTCCTTGCTGTGCCATCTTTACAAAGTTCTGGAGAGACTTATTCTGCATAGAATCATGGAAAAAATAGACCCATTTATGATCCCACAGGAAAGGCAAAAGCTGCACATCATAAGTGCTGAATCTGACCCAGCACATAGAGGACGGTTTTGAAAGGCAGCAGATCACAGGAGCTATCTTCATAGACTTGTCAGCAGCCTATGACACTGTAAATCATCACCTTCTCCTGAGGAAAATTTATAATATCACAATGGATTACCATCTCACCCGCTTCATAGGAAATCTGATACAAAACAGGAGCTTTTTTGTTGAATTCCAGGGCCAGAGAAGCAGATGGCGAAAACAGAAGAACGACCTGCCTCAGGGGAGCGAGCTTGCTCCATCAATGTTTAACATTTACACAAATGAGCAGCCAGAGAGTTTAATCTATGCTGATGATTGTGCCATCACCGCTCAGGCAAAACCAGCTGATTCCTAATCCATCTAAGACACATGTGCTTTTCGTCTTAAGAACAGACAAGCATCTCGAGCTCTGAGGATGACCTGAGAAGGACTCCACGGGAGCATTGCAGCACACCCAAATACCTGGGAGTTACCTTGGATCGTTCTCTGACCTATAAGAAGCACTGCCTGAATAACAAGCAAAAAGTGGGCACTAGAAACAGTATCATACGAAAGCTGACGGGCACAACCTGGGGTTCACAACCAGATACAGTGAATTCATCTGCCCTTGCGCTTTGCTACTCTGCAGTTTGTTCACCCTCATCCAGATCGTATACACTTTGACATTTTACTATATTGAAATATATTTTGTGATATTTAGAATATTATATATTTTATAAAATTTACAATATCGCAATATATTTTATAATATCTGTGATATTACAATGGCATAAATTATGATATCTATCATAATATATGCCATAATAATTTCAGAATAGCAATATGTTTAGAATATCTATAATAAAACAATATTTATAAAGCTGCTTTGAGTCTCCTTGTGGAGAGAAAAAGCAGGATATAAATAATAATAATATTATTATAACATTGCAAAATATTTTAGAATGTCTCTAATATTACAATGTAATATTATTTAAAATGCTTAAGACCAGAAATACCTTGGATTTTTTTATATCCATCCATACTATGAGACATCTTTAAGATATCTCAGGATGGGTATATGTAATTAATATCATAATATCAATATTTGTTATCAATATTAATATTTATATTATAGCATATTCGTATTTATATTATTATTATTCCTATTTCTATTAATATGAGTATTTCTTATTAAATATCATTCATATTATACAGTATTAATTTTAAATATTCCTTTTTATATCAATAACATTAATATTTATGTTATAAATATCAGTATTTATATTAATGCCTGCTCTATCATAACATCTCGGCAGTTATTCTGGCTAATTTTATGTGGGATTATGTTGGTTTTCTATGGCATTTAACTCCAGATGAAAGTCGTCATTCTGGTGGAGGGGCCCTGGACTCCGTCCTATCCAGCTTTGTCCTCCTTTGTCCAAATGGGACACAGGCAACCATCATGGACGGGGCGCAATGCAACCTGGGACATGTCCCGCCCGGGATCATCGTTTCCAGGCCCATCGCTTCAACAAAAATCCACAGATTCCTCCAAAAATTTCAGGTGAATCAGAATCCGGTAGGCCACCTGTAGGGAGGGTTTGAGCAGTGTATTATTATTATTATTATTACTACTACTACTACCAGTACCACTACCAATAATAATACTTTCTGATCTATTTTCCCATTGAGGGGTTAGCATTGTGACTGTCATTTCCACAGGACTTTGTTTTGGGCATCCTCAGGTCACCACATATACTCTAATGTTCACGCGTAATCCATTCACTCATTCATACTCACCATTCCTCTTCATTCTGTTCATCATCACGTATACTCTAACCTATTTTCCCAATGGAGGGAAAGCTATTTTCCACAGTGGAGCATTGTGACTATCATTTCCACAGGGCTTTGTTTTGGGCATCCTCGTGTCTCAGGTTTGTAGCATGCATGTCTTTGTTGATGATGTCCCTGTATCTTGTCTTTGGCCTTTGTCTACATGGTCATCATCCTGCAATCTCCAAATGCAGTGCTGTTTGTGCTGGTGATGTCGGTTCTTTTCTCATGACATGGCCTTACCACCATAGTCTTGCTTCTTGCATTTCTTGCTGATCAGTTTTATACCTAGTCTTTGACAGATGTCATCATTTGGCACATGGTCAAGAAGAGTCAAGCCAAGTGTCCATCTCAGCATTTCCATTTCCATTGTGTTAAGGGCTTGTTTGTGTTTCTTTGTTGCTGGCCAGCACTCTGCCCTGTAGACGGAGGGCTACTGGGAAGACAACTGTAGTGTAGATCTTAACCTTGGTTTTTCAGACATTTTTGAGAATGTCTGAACAGAATGCCAGTTGTTATAATAATTTATATAATTCTTTAATTCTATATAATATGCATTGGGTTAAACTGCTGAGCTGCTGAACTTGCTGACCAAAAGGTTGGTGCTTCGAATCCAGGGAGAGGGGCGAGCTCCCACTGTTAGGCCCAGCTTCTGCCAACCTAGCAGTTCAAAAACATGCAAATGTGAGTAGATCAATAGGTACCACTTCTGCAAGAAGGTAACGATGCTGCACGCAGTCATGCTGACCACATGACCTTGGAGGCAACTACGGACAACACCAGCTCTTCAACTTATTTATTATTTATTTATTTAAAACACTTATATTCCGCCCTTCTCACCCCGAAGGGGACTCAGAGCAGAGCACAACATATACATGGCAAACATTCAATGCCTGGATACAATACATAAACATTAAAAAACATTTATCTAAATATTAAAATACACCATGTACAATAACACAATTTAAAACTGTCCTAGCCATCCGCATCAAATCCAATTGGCCCTGTCATCTTTCCCATTGTCACTTCATTGCCCTGTCCCGAAAGCTTGGTCCCACAGCCAAGTTTTTACCATCCTTCTAAAGGACAGGAGGGAGGGGGCTGACCTGATCTCACAAGGAAGGGAGTTCCATAGCCGGGGAGCAATCACCGAGAAGGCCCTGTCTCTCATCCCCACCAATCGCTCCTGTGACAATGGCGGGATGGAAAGCAAGGAGGAAAGCAGGGAGATTAAGATCCCCGGAGGATCTTAATCTCCGCGATGGTACATAGAAGGAGATGTGTTTGGACAGGTAATTTGGGCCGGGGCCGTTTAGAAATGGAGATGAGCACCACCCTCCAGAATCAGACACTACTAGACTTAATGTCAGGAGAACCTTTACCTTTATATAATATAAGATTTCTCTCACTTCCTGTGGTCTCAAGTCCTGTTCTTAACTAGGAGTTGTTTGTAAGTCAGATGTTTGTAACTCCAGGACATTCTGTATATATATAATATAATGATATAATTATATGAATAATACATAAGATTCCTCTAACTTTTGTGGTCTCAGCCCCATTCTTAACTAGGAGTCGTTTGTAAGTCAGATGTTTGTAATGGGGACGGCATGTGTGTGTGTGTGTATATGAATAACACATAATATAATTATATACTGATACTTATAATATAGATAGATGAGATTCATATAGATTTTTTTTCGTGTCAGAAGTGACTTGAGAACATACTGCAAGTCATTTCTGGTGTGAGAGAATTGGCCATCTGCAAGGATGTTGCCCAGGGGACGCCCATATTTTTTTGATGTTTCACCATCTTTGTGCAAGGCTTTTCTTATGTCCCCTCATGTCCCATTGTGCCACCGGGGGCTATTTCTATATCGGAGACCCTGGTGGCACAATGGGTTAAACTGTTGTGCCGGCAGGACTGAAGACTGAGAGGTTAAAGGTTTGAATCCAGGGAGAGCGTGGATGAGCTGCCTCTGTCAGCTCCGACTCCCCATACGGGGACATGAGAGAAGCCTCCCACAAGGATGGTAAAACATCAAAACATCCAGGTGTCCCCTGGGCAACATCCTTGCAGATGACCAATTCTCTCACACCAGAAGTGACTTGCAGCTTCTCAAGTCGCTCCTGAAACAATATAAAAACAGATAGATAGATAGATAGATAGATAGATAGATAGATAGATAGATAGATAGATAAGATAGAGTGGATAGCATGGATAGATAGATAGGATGGATGGATAGAATAGATAGATAGATAGATAGATAGATAGATAGATAGATAGATAGATAGATAGATAGATAGATGGAGGGAGGAAGAGATGGATGAAAGTACAGCTTTTGTTGTTTATTCGTTCAGTCACTTCTGACTCTTTGTGGAAAGGACAGCAACATATCATTGTCCTTCTTTAGAGGTCCCTTTCAAATCTATTTATTTATTTATTTATTTATTTACTTTGCTTATATACCGCTGTATCTCAAGCCCGAAGGCGACTCACAGCGGTTCACAAACAGTAAAAACAGTAGAAACAGCAGTGGTTCCATACAACATATAACAATTGACTTAACACATTATCCATAAATTACCAATAAGCAGTTACAATGCACAATTATTACAAAAAACAACCGTACCCAATCTTCTCATCATCCAAGCGTAGTCCAGGTTCGTCGTCCCTTGTTCCATTCCTATGTTCCATTACCAGATTGCACTAAATTACTCAAACGCCTGCACAAACATCCAGGTCTTCACCTTTTTGCGGAATACCATTAGAGATGGTGCTAGTCTAATGTCCGTAGGAAGGGCGTTCCACAGCCGAGGAGCCACCACCGAGAAGGCCCTATCTCTCGTCCCCGCCAGCCGAGCTTGAGAAGCAGGCGGGATCGAGAGCAGGGTCTCCCCGGAAGATCTCAAACTCCTGGTGGGTTCATAGGCAGAGATGCGGTCAGATAGGTAGCTTGGGCCGGAACCGTTTAGGGCTTTAAAGGCCAACGCCAGCACTTTGAATTCAGCCCGGTAGCAGATCGGTAGCCAGCGGAGTTGGCGCAACAGGGGGGTTGTATGCTCCCTGCGCTCCGCTCCTGTTAAAATCATGGCTGCCGAGCGTTGGACTAGTTGGAGCTTCCGAGCTGTCTTCAAAGGCAACCCCACGTAGAGAGCGTTGCAGTAGTCTAAACGGGATGTAACCAGAGCGTGGACTACCGTGGCCAAGTCAGACTTCCCAAGGTACGGGCACAGCTGGCGCACAAGCTTTAGCTGTGCAAATGCTCCCCTGGTCACCGTCAAAACCTGGGGTTCCAGGCTCAGCGATGAGTCCAGGGTCACACCCAAGCTGCGAACCTGCGTCTTCAGGGGGAGTGCGACCCCATCCAACACAGGCTGTAACCCTATGCCCTGTTCGGCCTTGCGACTGACCAGGAGTACCTCTGTCTTGTCTGGATTCAATTTCAATTTGTTCGCCCTCATCCAGACCGTCACAGCGGCCAAGCACCGGTTCAGGACCTGGACAGCCTCCTTAGTAGCAGGTGGAAAGGAGTGACAGAGTTGGACATCATCCTGCGTACAGATGACACCGTACCCCGAAACTCCGGATGATCTCCCCCAGCGGCTTCATGTAGATGTTAAACAACATGGGAGACAATATTGAGCCCTGAGGAACCCCACAAGACAATGGTTGTGGGGTTGAACAGGTGTCCCCCAACAACACCTTCTGAGATCGACCCTCTAGGAATGACCGGAGCCACTGCAAAACATTACCTCCAAGACCCATCCCCGCGAGGCGTCTCAGAAGGATACCGTGGTGGACGGTCTCGAAGGCCGCTGAGAGGTCCAGCAGCACCAACAGGGACACACTCCCCCTGTCGAGCTCCCGGCGCAGATCATCCACTAAGGCGACCAAAGGCCTCTTTGCCTAAAGCCAGACTGTGCCGGGTCTAGATAATCCGTGTCTACCAAGAATACCTGGAGTTGTGAGGCCACCACACGTTCCAAGACTTTGCCCAAGAAGGGGAGATTGGAAACTGGCCAATAGTTGTCGAATTTAGTGGGGTCCAGTGATGGTTTTTTCAACAGCGGTTTTATTATAGCTTGTTTTAAGCTCGCTGGAATCTTGCCTTCCCGAAGGGAAGCATTAACCACCACCTTAACCCACTCAGCCAATCCTCCTCTGGCCTCCTTTAGAAGCCAGGATGGGCAGTGGTCCAGGATGCATGTGGTTGGCCTCATTCCTCCAAGTATCTTGTCCACATCCTCGGGTTTCACCAATTGAAATGAATCCATCAAAACTGGACAAGCAGGTGCTCGTGTTACATCCTCAGAGACTGCCATTAACATGGTATCCAGACCAGAACGGATCAAAGCGACTTTGTCTCCAAAGAACTGAGCAAAAGCTTCACAGCGAGAAGTCGAATCGTCAGGGTTCCCACCTTGAGCGGTGGGAATTAAAAGGCCTCTGACAATTCAGAACAGCTCAGCCGGACGGTTCTTTGCAGACGCAATAGTGGCCGCAAAGAAGGCCTTCTTTGCGGCTTTTATTGCCATGGCATATGACCTTAAAAAGGACACAAACCGTGTTCGATTTGGCTCGCTCGGATCCGAACGCCACACACTCTCTAGTTCCCTCTTCCTTTGCTTCATCGCTGCCAGCTCCTTGGTGAACCAGGGAGCTGGTTTAGCTCGGCTACTTGAGAGGGGACTTCCGGAGCGATCGTGTCAATTGCCCTAGTCATCTCCCCATTCCAGAGAGCGACCAGGGCCTCGACAGGATCACCTACCGAGGCGGCGGGAAACTCCCCAAGAGCCATCAGGAATCCATCCGGATCCATAAGCCTCCTGGGGCGGACCAACTTAATGGGTCCTCCACCTCTGCAGAGGTTAGGGGGCGCAGTGAGCCTAAATCTGACCAGGAAGTGGTCGGTCCATGGCAACAGAGAGCTGGTCAGCTCCTCGACCCCGCCACCTTCCTCCCATCCCTGGCAGAAAACCAAGCCCAATGTATGTCCTGCACTATGAGTGGGGCCAGATACTTGCTGGGACAGCCCCATGGTTGCCATGGCAGACANCCTGGGGGGGTTGCGAGGGGGTGTCAGAAGGGTTGCCAAAGACCACCAGAAAACACAGTATTTTCTGTTGGTGATTAGGGTTCTGTGTGGGAAGTTTGCCCCAATTCTGTCATTGCTGGGGTTCAGAATGCTCCTTGATTTTAGGTGAACTATAAATCCCAGTAACTACAACTCCCAAATGTCAAGGTCTATTTTCCCCAAACTCCTCTGTGTGCATATTTGGGCATATTGAGTATTCGTGCCAAGTTTGGTCCAGATCCATCATTGTTTGAGTCCACAGTGCTCTCTAGATGTAGGTGAACTATAACTCCAAAACTCAAGGTCAATGCCCACCATACCCTTCTAATGTTTTCTGTTGGTCAGGGGATTCCTGTGTTGCAAGTTTGGTTCAATTCCATCGTTGGTGGAGTCCAAAATGCTCTTTGATTATAGGTGAACTATAAATCCTAGCAACTACAACTCCCAAATGACAAAATCATAATTTTTGAGTGAGGGTTACTCCTTGTGTTGTGAGACGTTTTGTTGCCAAATTTGGTGTGGTTTTGTTCATTGGTTCTTTTGTTTTTAGGGTACTCATTACGCACAGAGCATTTTTATATATATAGATAATAATATATTATTATATTTTCAATTCTATTCTTTTAGGATTTAGGCACAAGCTTTCAACTCTTTCAATCCCAAAACTATGGAGGAAGCGACTTGCTATTTAAAGACAATACAAAAAGGCTCCTTTCTGCCGTTAATGGCAATTTCAGAGCTATTATTGGAGAGCCATTTTTCAAAATGGCCGAATCCATCTTCACTTGCACAAAAGCAGGTAGGAATCATCCCTATTATAAATAATAATAATAATAATAATAATAATAATAATAATAATAATAATTTTTAAAAATATTCACACACACAGCCTTTATTGGCATACAGTAACAAAATTGGCAAACCACACTGGTATAGACAACAAGGGGAAATTGCAGATAAAAAGAAAACATACTTAAAAGTTGTCGAAGGCTTTCATGGCCGGAATCACTGGGTTGTTGGAGGTTTTTTGGGCTATATGGCCATGGTCTAGAGGCATTCTCTCCTGACGTTTCGCCTGCATCTATGGCAAGCATCCTCAGAGGTAGTGAGGTCTGTTGGAACTAGGAAAAAGGGTTTATATATCTGTGGAATGACCAGGATGGGACAAAGGACTCTTGTCTGCTGGAGCTAGGTGTGAATGTTTCAACTGACCACCTTGATTAGCATATAATGGCCTGACAGTGCCTGGAGCAAACTTTTGTTGGACATTCACACCTAGCTCCAGCAGACAAGAGTCCTTTGTCTCACCCTGGTCATTCCACAGATATATAAACCCTTTTTCCTAGTTCCAACAGACCTCACTACCTCTGAGGATGCTTGCCATAGGTGCAGGCAAAACGTCAGGAGAGAATGCCTCTAGACCATGGCCATATAGCCCAAAAAAACCTACAACAACCCATACTTAAAAGTTACTGATCTCAGAAAATATGAAATGCAAAGATACAGAATGAGGGACAATGCCTGGCTCTACAGTAGTACATGTGAAAAAGATCTTGGAGTCCTAATGGGAAGGAAGGGGAACATGAGCCAGGAATGCCATGTGGTGGCTTAAAAAGCCAATGGGATTTTGGCCTGCGTCAATAGGAGCCTGGTGCCTAGATCCAGGGAAGTCCTGCTACCCCTCTTTTCTGCCTTGGTCAGACCACTTTACCTGACGGGAGGCAGATTGCGTTGGAAAATATATAACGTTGCATGAGTGAAGGTTGGATAAGCGAGACTCTACTGTATTTTAATTTTAGATACTACATTTATGCCAATTAAATTTCTCTCCCCACTTCCCCCCATTACATTAATTTAATGTATAAATAAATAATAAGTAAAAATAAAAATAATACATTAAATTAACACCCATTACATTCCCTTCCTTTTTGTTTTCCAGGCATTTTGGATTTCTGCAAACGAGACTCTTGCACCGATCCATCAAGACCTTAAAAAGTATCATATTATTTGATTTTAAAAATGTATTCGTATTGATTTCCTTAAAAAAAGCTATTGGGTGACCTTGGAAGTCACACTCTCTCAGCCTTAGTTCCCTGTGTTTTATATAACCTACCCCACTCAATTTATTAATTTTATAATTTTGTTAAAGGAATTAATGCAAAATTATATATACTTACCTTCATGTTGCTATGGTTCGCTTCGTGTTTGTCTTTCTTTTATTCTCCTTGATACTTTTGTCATTTTATTGTCCTGTTTTCTGGTTTCAAACGTCAATACAATTATAAATAAATAAATAAAGGTATTGTCATGACCTTATTTCCTGGTTTTGTGTGAAACCAGGAAATTATACCATGCCTTAGACCTGGCCTGTGTATATTTGAAACAAGGGAGATGGTTTCAAATGGGAACAATGAAGGGGAGGAGCCAGGGTGAGGGGTAAGGAGATGTGAGGGAAAGAAACTGTCAGTTGGAATTTTGTTTTTGTACCACAATGTATGCTTTTAGAAATAAAGCCTTCCCACTTGGTTTGTGAGATAAGAAAGCTACAGATCCAGACAGATATGTCTCGAATGTTGCCAGTCTTTAAAAGAAGCATGTTTGAGCATATACAAAATCAATCGGTGAGTATGTTAACTGAAAATGCAAAGCACAAAGCTGATTGGTTGGGCAATGCAGGAGAGTCTAGCTGAACCTGGAAGTTTTGGCAACAGTTACATTTTTAGGTTTTCTGTGCAGGAGCTTACCAAGACAGTTTGTATTTTTGCTTCTTGGCTACTCGAAGATCTCTCACATGGGTGCCTAAGGATCATTTGAATCTCTCTCAAAGGACAGATTAGAGAGATGGGCCAAAATTAACAAAATGAAGTTCAACAGGGACAAATGCAAGATACTCCACTTTGGCAGGAAAAACGAAATGCAAAGATACAGAATGGGGGACGATGCTTGGCTTGAGAGCAGTACGTGTGAAAAAGCTATTGGAGTCCTCGTGGACAACAAGTTAAACATGAGCCAACAATGTCATGTAGCGGCAAAAAAAAGCCAATGGGATTTTGGCTTGCATTAATAGGAGCATAGTCTTCTGTGTGCCCAGGGGGGAGTCTCTCATTTGGTATCAGCCACTGATTGAGGTTCTGGGTTTGAGCCTGCCACTTTTGGACTCTCGCTTGCTGAGGTGTTCCAGCGAGTGTCTCTGTAGATCTTAGAAAACTATTTCTTGATTTAAGTCGTTGATGCTGGCTGATACCCAAACAGGGGATGAGCTGGAGATGTCTCTGCCTTGGTCCTTTCACTATTGGCTGCTACTTCCCAGTGGATGTCAGGTGGTGCAATACCGGCTATGCAGTGTAATTTCTCCAGTGGTGTAGGGCGCAGACACCCCGTGATAATGCGGCATGTCTCATTAAGAGCCACATCCACTGTTTTAGTGTGGTGAGATGTGTTCCACACTGGGCATGCATACTCAGCAGCAGAGTAGCACAGCGCAAGGCAGATGTCTTCACTGTATCTGGTTGTGATCCCCAGGTTGTGCCAGTCAGCTTTCGTATGATATTGTTTCTGGCACCCACTTTTTGCTGATGTTCAGGCAGTGCTTCTTGTAGGTCAGAGCACGGTCCAAAGTGACTCCCAGGTATTTGGGTGTGCTGCAATGCTCCAGTGGGATTCCTTCCCATGTAATCCTCAGAGCTCGGGATGCTTGTCTGTTATATGCTAATCAAGGTGGTCAGTTGAAACATTCACACCTAGCTCCAGCAGACAAGAGCAGACAAGAGTCCTTTGTCCCACCCCAGCCATTCCACAGATATATAAACCCTTTTTCCTAGTTCCAACAGACCTCACTACCTCTAAGGATGCTTGCCATAGATGCAGGCGAAACGTCAGGAGAGAATGCCTGTAGACCACGGCCATATAGCCCGAAAAACCCAGAGGCTAGATGGCCATCTGTCAGGGGTGCTTTGAATGCAATATTCCTGCTTCTTGGCAGAATGGGGTTGGACTGGATGGCCCATGAGATCTCTTCCAACTCTATGATTCCTTCCTTCTCTTCCTGACAGAATGGCATTTCTCTGTTCAGGAGAAATGCCTCTAGAACATGGCTCTATAGCCCGAAAAAACCCACAAGAACCTAGTTTAGATATACACAATACAAAATCATTAGGCATTTAAAAGCAATAGCATCACAAGTCATTAAACATCAGTATCAATACATCAATATGTCAGAGATCTGTATTGTCTGTATTGTCTTATGGGAGAAGAGGGGGCGTGTCTCTCTATGCCACCTTTGCAATCCGTCAGTCAAAGTTGCAGAGTAGTAGGCAGCCAATGGAAAACCTCCTAAGGGCGGGGCTTTCCGGGACTCGGCCAATGGGAGGGAGAAGGAGGAGGGGCTTGTTGGGTGGGCCTCAGCAGAGCCTCTCCCTCTGTCACTCTCGCACCAGAGGCCGCCTTCCATGCCAACTGTCAATCAAATCCGGAGAGTGGCAGGCAGCCAATGGAAAGACTTCTGTGGGCGGGGGTTTTCCGGGACTCGGCCAATGGGAGGGCAAAGGAGGAGAGGCTTCTTGGGTGGGCCTCATCAGAGCCTCTCCCTCCTTCCCTCTGTCTCTTGTCTCTTTTTTTCTCAAAGCCGGAGAACGGTACTCAGCCAATGGGAGGTTTCCGAAGGGCGGGACTTCCCGGACTCAGCCAATGGGAGGGCGAAGGAGGAGTGCTTCTCGAGTCTCCCTCAGCCATTTCTTTCTGAGGCGGGAAGGTAGCGGTTGGAGCAGAAAGCCAGAAAGAGGTGTGTATGGCTTTTCACTGCCCTCCCGGAGGGGGCGGGGCTTGAGACGGGCCTGCCAGCTTTCCCGCCATTGTGTCTGACTCGCCTCCCATCTCTGCCTGCCTGCCCTTGTGCTGAGTGAGTGCGTCTGCGGCCTGGTGTAGTGTATGTACTTGGAGCAGTAGGCGGGGCTGTTGGTCATGTGACTGTTTAGAATGTTCGGTTTCAAAAGGATGGCAGTTGGGAAATGACAGTTGGGCCTTGGGTCTGTTAGTGTACAGAAGCCAGTGTTAGGAGTTGAGAGACAGTTGAGGCTTGAGTCTGTTTAAGTTCAAAGACAGTTGTTGCTTGAGAGCTTGGCAGGGGGACCCAGGGCGGCCTCACATAGGCATCAACTGATGCTAACAACATTTATTTACTTACTTACAGTATTTCTATACCGCTTTTCTCACCCCTAAGGGGACTCAAAGCGGTTTACACATAACTGACAAAACTTCAGTGCCATACATTGGACACTGATGGGATGCCAAGCCATAACAACCACACTAATAAAACCACAGTTAAACATAAATCATAATTAGACAGTACATAAGTAATCATTAAAACAATAAATAATAAAAATAGTCTCGCCAGTTGTATTGTCATTCTAGTCCAGTGTTTCTCAACCTGGGGGTCGGGACCCCTGGGGGGGTCACAAGAGGGTGTCAGAGGGGTCCCCAAAGACTGTCAGAATATACAATATTTTCTGATGGTCATGGGGGTTCTGTGTAGGAAGTTTGGCCCAATTCTATCATTGGTAGGGTTCAGAATGCTCTTTGATTTTAGGTGAACTATAAATCCCAGCAACTACAACTCCCAAATGTCAAGGCCTATTTTCCCCAAACTCCACCAAAGTTCACATTTGCACATATTGAGTGTTCATGCCAAGTCTGGTCCAGATCCATCATTGTTTGAGCTCACAGTGCTCTCTGGATGTAGGTGAACTACAACTCCCAAACTCAAGGTCAATGCCCACCAAGCCGTTCTAGCATTTTCTGTTGGTCATGGGAGTTCTGTGTGGTAAGGTCTCATTCAATTGCTTCATTGGTGGAGTTCAGAATGCTCTTTGATTGTAGGCAAACTATAAATCCCAGCAACTACAACTCCCAAATGACAACATAAATCTACCCCAACCCCACCAGTATTCAAATTTGTGCGTGTCGGGTATTTGTGCCAAATTTGGTCCAGTGAATGAAAATCCATCCTGTATATCAGATATTTACGATTCATAACAGTAGCGAAATTATGTATGTTATGAAGTAGCAGCAAAAATAATGTTATGGTTGGGGGTCACCACAACATAAGAAACTGTATTAAGGGGTCGTGGCATTAGGAAGGTTGAGAACCACTGTTCTAGTCCATGTCCTTTAAACTCTACAAACATCTACTGTCCAAAGGCCTGATCCCAAAGCCATTATTTTAATTTCTTTCTAAAAACCAGGAGGGAGGGAGCAGATCTTACCTCATTTGGGAGTGTGTTCCATAGGCGAGGGGCCACAGCCGAGAAGGCCCTGTCTCTCGTCCCCGCCAGACACATTTGCGCAATTGATGGGAGCGAGAGCAGAGCCTCCCCGGATGATCTTAGATTACGAGATGGGACGTAGGGGTGGATGCGTTCGGACAAGTAAGCTGGGCCAGAACCTTATAGAGCTTTATAGGTCAAAACCAGCACTTTGAATTGGGCTCGGAGATGGACTGGCAGCCAGTGGAGCTGGCACAACAGGGGGGTGGTATGCTCCCTGTATGTCACCCCAGTTAGTAATCTGGCTGCCGCCCGTTGGACTAGCTGAAGTTTCCAAACCGTCTTCAAAGGCAGCCCCAGGTACAGCGCATTGCAGTAATCTATTTGGGATGTAACCAGAGTGTGGACCACCGTGGTCAGATTAGACTTCCCAAGATACGGGCGCAGCTGGTACACAAGTTTTTACTGTGCAAAAGCTCCCTTGGCCACCACCGAAACCTGCGGTTTCAGGCTCAGCAATGAATCCATGATCACTCCCAAGCTGCGAACCTGCGTCTTTTTCCCTATCGGGTTCCTGACTGACTCTCACAGTTGAAAGTCCTATGCCTACAATTTACCCCAAGCTGCAAACAGGCGTCTTCAGGGGGAGTGTAACCCCATCTAACACAGGCTGTAACCCTATGCCCTGTTTGGCCTTACGACTGACCAGTAGGACCTCTGTCTTGTCTGGATTCAATTTCAATTTGTTAGCTCTCATCCAGTCCGACACAGCAGCCAAGCACCGGTTCAAGGTCTGGACAGCCTCCTTGGTGACAGGTGGAAAGGAGTGACAGATTTGGACAGTACAGATAACACCATAAGAATTACAATTAAAACAGTAAAAACTCTTTACATTTTTTTTTACAAATTTATATAAATAAAATTGTAATGTTCGTTTGTGGGATTAACATAACTCAAAAACCACTGGACCAATTGACACCAAATTTGGAGACAATACACCTAACAACCCAGTGAGTGACCATCACTCATAAAAGAACTGAAAAACATAGCGGAAGGGACTTAAAAAGCCAAAAAAAATATTATAATGCATGCACAAAACCACATATACACAAATATACACACACACATATATATACAAATATATACACAAACTGTGCTGTCGCACGCTGCGCCTGTGCATAAGACTGTAGACAGGATATAAATTCTGTGTGCCCAATGGGACGCCGGGGCTCCCTCATATTAAAGGCCGTTGGATTTCCTTAAAACAGAGTCTTTAGATTGCTTAAAGGTTCAGCAAAGTTATTTATTAATGAAAACAAACAGGTACTTTAAGGCTTTCTTAACAGTCTATTGGTTCTCTCTCAATCTTGTCCACAGGGAACAGGCAGTATCTTCATAACTGTAACTAATGGGGAAATCCTTAACTTCTAATCTGGGCAGTTTGTCTTTGCCTCTGTTGGCGTGGAGCCCCTGCACCCGGTACCAACTGCTTCTGGCTTCCGCGAGTGACCCTTACCAAGCAGAGCTTTGTAGACTTCCAGGGGGAAAAGAACTCAGGTTTCTGTGATGGCTGACTGAAGTCCTTCAGCAAAGGAACTGTAAGGCTATATAACCCCGGCCAAACTGTGGGCTGTATATCTCCCCGGCCAAGCCGTAGAAGACGGAGCTTTCTATAGGAGCTCTTGGTATTATGTCCTGCATGAAAGGCTTCTCTGTGTGGACTGAACTCAAATTGGCTCCTATTCCCTCCAAAACCCAAAAAAGGGGGCGGGACCAGGGAACCTAACGATAATTGACAGGTGGCTTGCCCTATGATTGCAGCCAAAAGAAGCCACCTATCTGCAGAGTCCCTGAAACTTAGGATTACAACAAACATTCAATGCAAAGCAAACAAAATTGGAGCTCCTGGTACAGTTGTACCTGCACACAAACATAGACTGGGCCACGGCAACGCGTGGCAGGGGACGACTAGTAATCTATATAAATAAAAATATTATGTTCTTTTTTGGGATTAATATAACTCAAAAACCACTGGACGAATCGACACCAAATTTGGACACAAGACACCTCTCAGGCCAACGAGTGATCATCACTCATAAAAACACTAAAAAAAAAAAACACAGCGGAAGAGAATTAAAAAGCCAAAAAACAGAAAATGCATTACAACGCATGCACAAAACCACATATATACACAAGCACACATATCTACACACATACACAAATATATACCCACGCATATACACACACATATACACAGACTGGGCCACAGCAACGAGTGGCAGGGGACAGCTAGTCATCAAGCATTCGGAACCCCGGAGTAAACAAACTAGAGTTGGAAATTGACCCAGGAACGGCCAAGACAATGTAACGGATGAAGATTTGAACGAGAGGACATAGTCTCTTTTCAAATTGTTTATTATGCACTGTCGTTTATGTTTAATTGCACTTGATGTTTTTGCTTTATCAATGTATGTATTTTGTTTCGGCATCGAATTATGCCGACTGTGTATACCACCCTGAGTCGCCTTTGGGCTGAAATGGGTGGGATAGAAATAGTGTAAATAAATAAGTAATTTAATAGTAAATTAACGTGCCAGTAAAACAAACAACCAAGCTGAGAAAATCCAGTGTTGCAAAAGCCCCAAATTCCTTTCCCTATTGTCGCTATCAGGGATCCTCAAACTTTTTAAACAGGAGGCTAGTTCACTGTCCCTCAGACCATTGGAGGGCTGGACTATAGTTAAAGTAATACATGTAATAACAATAGAGAAAAATAATAAATATAATAATATTAATAAATGTAATAACAATAATAGAGAAAAATAATACAAATAATAATAACAATAATAATAAAATAAAATAATAAATGTAATAATAACAACAAAACCAATAATAATCCAATAATTACCATAGTTTATTTTGACTACAGTATATATTTTGGGGGGATGCTGTGTGTATATGAATGAGAAAAGTGGGAAAGACTGGCTTGGGAAGGGGCTGGGAAAGAAAGAATGGGAAGGGGTGTTTGAAAAAGTGGGAAAATGAGGTGGAAAGGGGATATTTGGAAAAGTAGGGCAGATTGGAGTGGGATGGGGGCAACTGGGGAAGGAGGAAAGATTGAGGTGGGAAAAGGGGTCTGGAAACTGAGAATGGTTGGGATGGAAAGGGGGTGGCTGGAAAGTGGGAAACTGCAGTGGGAAAGGGGGCAAGACTGAAATGGGAAAGAGAAGCTAGAACCTTCCTTTCCTTCTATCTACCCTTTTGTCATTCTTTTATTCCTTCTTTTCTCCTGTCCTTCCAACATACTTTCCTTCCACTCATCTATCTTTCCTTCTTTCCTTCCTTCCATCTTTTGGACCAACTTTTGTCTCTGTTATGTTCACTCAGAATGTCTGAATCCATTTCTTGTTGTTTATGAATCTGTGATTGCTTTTGTGGGTTTCTATGTATCACCTTGAGACACTTCATGCCTCTATTTCTGGGTATTTCCATTTTAACATAATCCGTGAAGGAAAAAGAGGATAATGTTGAAGATTATGGATGTTTGGAGTTTCATGTTTAACCATTTGCTTCTTCTTTCTTGACCAGGGACATGAGGGTTCTATGGAGCCACCCCCGGTGTGATGAGAATTTGGAATTTGGAAACTAAAGTACAGTAAGGAAACCAGTCCTTACTGGAATTTGGAAACTAAAGTACAGTAAGGAAACCAGTCCTATAGGAAGGAAATTCTCTCAAGGTGCTGATCTTACTGAATTGTTAAGCTCTAGATCAGAAAGGAAAAACAAGAGTAAAGTGTCCATATTACAATTATATGTACATAATTCTGTCGACATGAAGGAAAAAGCATATAAATGTACTGAGTGTGGCAAGAACTTTGGTCAGCTTGGAAATCTGAAGAGACATCAAAGGACCCACACTGGGGAGAAACCCTATAAATGCCTGGAGTGTGGAAAGAGCTTCACTGATGGTGGAAATCTACGTTCACATCAGACAACTCACACTGGGGAGAAGTCCTATAAATGCTTGGAGTGTGGACAGAGCTTTGCTCGTAATGGACATCTACGTTCACATCAAAGGACTCACACTGGGGAGAAACCCTATAAATGCCTGGAGTGTGGACAGAGCTTTGCTCGGAAGGCACATCTACAGTTACATCAAAGAACTCACACTGGGGAGAAACCCTATAAATGCCTGGAATGTGGAATGAGCTTCAGTCATAATGTAGGTCTATATTCACATCAAAGGACTCACACTGGTGAGAAACCCTTTAAATGCTTGGAGTGTGGAATGAGCTTCACTGAGGGTGGCAGTCTCCATAGACATCAAAGGACTCACACTGGAGAGAAACCCTATAAATGCCTAGAGTGCGGAATGAGCTTTTCTCGGAGTGGACTTCTACTTTCGCATCAAAGGACTCACACTGGGGAGAAACCCTATAAATGCCTGGAATGTGGGCAGAGCTTTACTCAAAGCAGAAATCTTCGTTCACATCAAAGGATTCACACTGGGGAAAAACCCTATAAATGCATGGAATGTGGAAAGAGCTTCATTCACAGTGCAAGCCTATGTTCACATCGATGGACTCACGCTGGGGAGAAACCCTATAAATGCATGGAGTGTGGACAGAGCTTCAGTGAGAGTGGAAGTCTACATAAACATCGATGGGCTCACACTGGGGAGAAACCCTATAAATGTCTGGTGTGTGGTAATAGCTTCACACGGAGTGGCAGTCTCCATAGACATCAAAGGACTCACACTGGAGAGAAACCCTATAAGTGCATGGAGTGTGGACAGAGCTTCAGTGAGAGTGGAAGTCTACAGAAACATCAAAGCACTCACACTGGGGAGAAACCCTATAAATGCATGGTGTGTGGAAATAGCTTCACACGGAGTGGCAGTCTACATAGACATAATAGAATCCATACTTGAGACAATGATGATAATTGACACCAGAGTATCTTTCTTACATGTACAAAAGCAACTCTTGTACATGTTGGAAGTGCAAGAACAAAGTTGGGACATTTTATCATATGTGATGTATTGTAGAAAGATTGAACTAAAATACACTCCATCCTGGAAGTAATTAAGGTTAAATGAAACCATAATTTTATTTGTTGGGAATCCTGGATGATCAAGTAGAAAGAAAACATGAATAGTTACTGCAGTACATAACTACAATAAGATAAGAATTGACTATGTGCAGAGATGGAAGGAACGTCTTATTCCAACATAAAAAGAATGGCTTATGAAGTTCTGCAAATTAGCCAAAATGAACAAACTGACAACAATATGGGCAAATGTCAGTTGTAATATTTATTAATTGGAAGAGTGTTTTCAAAAGTAGAGGTGTGATTATGTAACATTTAAAGGAAGTAGCATAATAAGGGATAAAAATTAACAGAATGAGGCTAGTACTACTACTAGTAGTAGTAGTAGTAGTAAATTTTATTGATTATCCCTTAGGCCATATCACAATCCCAAACTAAACAAAAAGGTTTGATAAAAAATCATTACACTCTATACCAGGGGTCCTCAAACTTTTTAAACAGAGGGTCAGGTCACAGTCCTTCAAACTATTGGAGGGCCAATTTATAATTTGGAAAAAAAAAAGAATGAATTCCTATGCACACTGCACATATCTTATTTGTAGTGCAAAAAACACTTTAAAACAATACAATAATTAAAATGAAGAACAATTTTAACAAATATAAAATTATTATTTCAGTGGGAAGTGTGGGTCTGCTTTTGGCTGATGAGATAGGACTGTTGTTGTGTGCTTTTGAGTCATTACAGATTTAGGTTGACCCTGTGTGAGGGCCGGGTAAATGACCTTGGAGGGCTGCATCTGGCCCCCGGGCCTTAGATTGAGGACCCCTGCTCTATTCAGTAAGTTAAGTAAAACACTTATAACAATACAGTAAATAAATATGATAAAACTGAATATATACGTCATGTTTCCGCATCACCCCTACAATTTGCCCCGTCTTTTGTGATGAAGGGGTCAAACTATTACTTCCTGATATTAGAGCTGCCAAGGTTGTTACTTCACCAACTGTGACCCTGAGGGAGCAAGAGGGTGGGAATCAATCTGTTCTATTCGAAGAAGAGGACCCCAAGCTAATTGGGGATGTTTTCATTGATGCCTTTGGCTCATCCTCAAGACAAGAGCAGAACAATATGTGGAATAAGTTGGAAATCCTGAAGAGGGACTTGATGACTACAGCAGAGCCACTAATAGACCTTATTTCGCCAAATACTGATTATCATTGTTCACTCACACTGAATAAAGGAGTGACCAATTACGAGCAGCCAAAGGAAAATAGTTGGGATCTCTTCAATAAAGGAACATACAAATGAGAAGGAACCACCACTGGGACAGATGCAAAATAATATAATATATTGCCATCTAACTCCAACAATGTTGAATAAAGCCTCAACAGGACAAGATCAGCTGGAATGAGGCTTGTAGAAATGTACTCATCTATTTCTTCATTTGTTAGTTCAGTTTGTGTGTCTATGTAGGTATCTGTTTCACTGGTGTGTTTGTTTCTGATTTAGTTTTCAAATCAAATCAAATCATTTATTTCGGTCATTGACCAGCACAGGAAATAGTCACATTTTCATACAAACTTGGTATGTTTGGTACATTAAAAATATAAATATAACTACTGAAGCACAGTATGGGTGAGGGATCAGAAGGGAAGGGGAAACAGGGTAAAAACATACAACGCCCAGATCCATCACCAAATTGTAGATTCAGAGAAGAAGATTACTGGACACACAGTTAACTTTTGGGACTAGTCATTCCCTGACGGATTTTGTATGCTGCTGCACAGAACTTTGCAACTTTGTAGGTTGTCGCTGAATTAAGTTTTGTATTTTGTGTAGTAGTTAGTTACCCTGATTTAGTTTTGTATTTTATGTAGTAGTTAGTTTGCTGTGAAGTTAAAGCATTATATACAATTTCTACCTTTTATGTATTGTTGCTTTTAACCTCTTCTCTCTCTTTTTGATTTTGATTTTTGCAAAAAAGGATTTATAAGGGTCAAAACTGCTGAAACCGGAGGGGCAGATAGACCTGGTTTTAGCCCAGAATGGAATTTAATGCCTATTATAGAGTGCCTTTGAACATCATTTCCTGCCTCTATGTAGGTTTGGATTAAATTGTCTTGCTTCAGACATGTTTCCTGTTTTGTACCACATATATTCACAACTTTGACCTCCATCTATTGCTTTTCAACGCCTTGTCTGTTATCTCAAGAAATTTTGAATGTATCCTCATTTGGTATGTGTTTGGGTTTCATTGCCACACACCTTAATTCAGCATTTAAATACAGTCCCCCCCCCCTCCACACACACACACACATTTGCAGGTTTAGTTTTCATGGATTTCTTTATTCCAAATTTCTCATCCATAATCAAAGGGGGATTGTTTGGAGCCTCTTGAAAAATCACAGTGACGGTAATCGGGAAGGATGTCGTGGGCCTGAGGATCAGCCCACTGCAATTCCGTTGAGCCCAGTTTGCCTTCCATTGACCTCATGTTTCAGTTGCAAAAGAGCAAAATGTAAACAAAGCCTCTTTAGATCGTATACCAGTAAGATAAATGTATTATGCTTTTTGTGTGCTAAATTTAGTAAATAGTGAAGTTGAGGAGGAATTTAAAAGGGTCTCGCCCTGAAGGAGAGACCCTGCGGACCCACCAAAGAGGGCTCGCTACAGTGGTGAGCAAAAGTAAAGAGAAGCCGCAATTAAAAGATTTCCCTAAGTTCCCAAAAGAATCTCACCAAAGCTGAAGGGAGCGCCACCTAGTTGATTGTATTGCGATCCAGCTGGAAAGGATGCAAAGCAGCAATATTTCACCAAGCAGAGCAAACAGTGTACACAAATAAAGGCCTTTTTATACGTAAAACAGACCTGTCCGGTTTGAATTTCCTGCTCCCCGCTCCTCTGCCGGCGCTCTACAGCAGGGAGGAGGCTTGGCTGCCTCCTGAGCGCCTGGGCCATCTATAATTCCCTCCAAGGGCTGGAACCAGGTGGCAGATCCACTCCCCGAAGGTCTCATGGGATGACCACTTCAAGTTCCCCAGGTCCTGGAGCTCCAAAAGGACGAAGAAGCGATGGCGGGAGCAGCGCAGCAGCAGGAAGCTCAGTTTGACAATCAGCTGTTTTTCTTTAAATATATTCTCAAAAATAAAAAGATTATTCCCAGAGTGCAGGAGCCCGAAATGCAAAAAGCGAGATGGCAGATAGTGTTAGAATTGAGCTAGGAAAAATATGGCACCAAAATGGAGTCGTTTGGTTAACTCGCGGATACGGGGGCCTGAGGGGTTTCCGTATCTGTGGTTTAAAGAAACGCAGATTTGGCCTCCCTGGGACTGCTGGAAGGCATCGCAGGCAGGCCGGTGGCTGCCCATGGCCCAAAAAAGGATGAATTCATGCTTTTGATACTTGTGAGTCAGGAAATAGAAACAATTTATCACTATGGAGAGGTGAAGATTACAATTCAATTAGTCTTTATTAGGGGTTTTGTTACAATGTTTGGGCTGGGGAGAAAAGCAAAAGGAGAGAGCTCAAGGTTGCAGAGAGTCCTTGGTTGAGGCTGCTGCTGGGGCACATTTCATCAGAGCTGGCCCAACGGGGCATCCAGGAACTGTGGAACTCCCTGCAGCTGGTCAGATCAGCTGGAAAGCAGGGGTCTGGGGCGGATTCGGCATCAATAGATTTAAGAAGGGTTTGTGGTATCTTAGAGATCTTCATGTTTTTCCACTTTTGTGAGGGTCCTGATACCCTAAACCACACAAATATGGGGGGGGGGGCACCATAATAGTGAAATACAGTCACTCCCCAAATCCACAAAATAACTCTTGAGCCAAACAAAAATGTACTAAGACATACCCTGCCAGCTTTTGAAGCTCCGCTGGCTTCTTTGTCAGGCAAAGGTTTGAGAAATCATACAGCAAAAGTGGGAAAACAGGATAATTTTAAGGGTCTCAGGCCTATATTTTATCAAGATCAGGAGATCAGGAGCCTGGCAAAACGTGGTACATGAAACTAGGGACACTTGGAAACAAGACCGTCATGAAATTCTAACATTGACGAGACTGAGGCAATTCTTTCCCTTGTGTCAATATCAAGCTTTTCCTGACTCCAGAACCGAAAGAAAACCATTTCTTTTACCCTTACAACCAGATAATGGTTGCTTATCTCGCTATTCCTGCAAACAAATTGAGCGTTTCCTCACTCTTCAAGTTAGAAAAGGCCTAATTTTTGAAAATGGTCAAGTTTGGAAGATGTTGAATTTTTTCAAAAATTTGAGCGTTTTCCTCACCTGGCGGGTCAGAAAAGGCTAAATTTTGGAAGTATGTTAAGTTTGGATGTTGTCGGGTTTTTTAAAAAAGTTGATAGTTTCCTCACCCAGCGGGTCAGAAAATGCCAAATATTCAAAAATCGTCATTTGGATGATGTCAATTTTTTTCAAAAATTGGAGCGTTTTCCTCACCCGGCGGGTCAGAAAATGCCAAATTATTGAAAATCATCAAGTTTGGAAGATGTTGAGTTTTTTCAAAAATTGAGCGTTTTCATCACGCGGTGGGCCAGAAAAGGCCAAATTTTTGAAAATGGTAAAGTTTGGAAGTTGTTGATTTTTTTCAACATTTTGAGCGTTCTCCTCACCCGGCGGGTCAGAAAAGGCCAAATTATCAAAAATCAACAAGTTTGGAAGATGTCGAGTTTTTTCAAAAATTGAGCATTTTCTTCACCCGGCGGGGGTCAGAAAAGGCCAAATTTTGGAAGTTTGTAAAGTTTGGATGATGTCATGTTTTGTCAAAAACTTGAGCGTTTTCCTCATTCTTCGAGTTAGAAAAGGCCAATTTTTTGAAAATGGTCAAGTTTGGAAGTATGTAAAGTTTGGAAGATGTCGGGGGGTTTTTTCAAAAATTGAGTGTTTTCCTCATGCGGTGGGTCAGAAAAGGCCAAATTTTGGAAATTTGTAAAGTTTGGATGATGTCGGATTTTTTTTTAAATTTAAGCGATTTCCTCACCTGGCCGGTCTGAAAAGGCGAAATTTTGGAAGTATGTAAAGTTGGGATGTAAAGTTTTGGAAGTATGTAAAGTATGTAAAGTTTTCAAAACCTTTAGCGTTTTCCTAATGCTTGTTGAAAATGGTCAAGTTTGGAAGATGTTGAATTCTTTCAAAAATTTGAGTGTTTTCTTCACCCAGCGGGTCAGAAAATGCCAAATATGAAAAATTGTATTTTGGAAGATGTTGAGTTTTTGAAAAAATTGAGCTTTTTTTTCAACCGGTAGGTCAGAAAAGGCCAAATTTTGGAAGTTTGTCACGTTTGGATGATGTCAAGTTTCTTCAAAAATTTGAGTGTTTTCCTCACTTGGAGGGTCAGAAAATGCCAAA